GTTCACCATGATAAGATCTGGCATAGGCACAGGCCCCTTTCTTTCTTGTGTAAAGAGGGAGAAGGACTGTGGGAGCACAGGCTCATTCTTGGGCAGATCCATTTTTGGGGAAGAGAACATATGGAAGATGAGTATCTGGAAGTGAATTCTCTCGAAAGTGTGCAGACACGCCCCTTGGAGAATCCTTCTGTGCTCCCCCTGTTTGAAGGGTACCACCCAGAGCTCCAGGGGCTCAGCAGGCACTAAGGGCAGGGAGCCCCGGTTTCTGGGCCCACCATGGCTACCTCAGCTGCTACAGCTGGGCTTCTTTTCTGTTTTATGCTTCGACTTTTGTTTGAAGGAAGGGTTTTGCTGCTAAAAATAACAGTTTGAAAAACACAGTTTTCACGGGGAACCATTTAAGGATTTTCAGCAGGGAAGTGACATAATTAGGTTTTTGTCTCAAAAGGTCACTTTGACATCTGAACACGTTGTGGAGGGTGAATTGGAGGGAGTGAGAGTGGAGGCCTGGAGATTTGTCACAGAGGCTGTTGAAACAGTCCAAAGGAAAAAAATGTGAGCAATGGCAACTCTGGGCTCCATCCCAGAGTGGCAGCATCCACCTAAGACGGGGCAGGGGCTTACGGTTTGCAACCCTTCACCCAGCTGCTTCTCACATTTACACGCTCTGCCCGGCCTTTGCCTCTCTGACCCTTGTCTTTGAGTGGTCTTTCCTCTTTATCCACTAGATCCAGTAGACTGCCACCAAATCCTGTTGTTTCTCTCTGCAAGTTATCTCACATTTGTTTCTCTCTCTCCATTACTAGTCTATCATCCTAGGCGAGGCGCCTAGCATTTCATGGTTAGATTTCTCTGGGAGCCTCTTAACTGGTCTTTCTGCTTTCAGTCGGTCTGCCACAGCTAACTACCTCTTTTTGTTTGCATTGACATATTGCAGCCACGCAAAAGAGTACAGGTTTGTCAAATCTTGCTTCAGATTTCTCCTCCTCTTCCAGTCTTTGGCTTCTCTAGAAAATCTGAAGCAGAGCAGAATGGAATAGTGATGAACGCATTTCTGCTGTGATCATGCTTCCTTTGCTTCTTTTTATGAGAGATATTTGTAAATTGAGCAGGACTTAAAAGGTGAGGGAACACCTGCCACTTCTTCTCAGTGAAAGATTTTGTGAAGACAGTAGAATTTTAAGTGGCGTGGAGAAGGAACTGTAGCAGAGAATATTATATTTGAGACTTTGTGCTATCAGATGCCCCTCAGGGGTGGTAAGTAATTACTGAGGTTGGTAATAATGGTGCAGGGTGGTAAAAGCAACATAGGGAAGCAGTATGTATACCTGGGGAAACAGGTTACATGAGGAAGAGCCATGGAAGGCACTGGGACCTTTCTGGACACTCATAGAGGTGCTAGTCCAACCTTGGATGGAGAAGATGGGCAAAAAATACGTTTGCCTGGAGCCTGAATCATCTTGAAGATAAATTCTCCTGAGAATTCTGAAATTCCCTCTTAGGAATCACAGGTTCTCTATGAAGAATTTTCCATAGAAAAACTACTCTCCTGGACTGTCTTCTCACAAAACTTATATTTCTGGCCCTTAGAGTATGGTACCAGTTTTACTTTTAGAATCCATATCTAGACAGATAAGTTAGAACATGAGATCTGATTTGAATATATTTTAAATTGAAAAACTTTAACTCACAAAAGAAAGCAATGTGTCAATTCAAAGTAAAGATACTTGACCCTTTAAACAATAACAGCAGCTCTTTAAGGCTATATATTGTGAGAAGGTGAACTGGACCTAAGGTATAGAACCAGTCTGTGCATTGCTATATGGAAAGAGGGAAGTTGGTTGGGGGGAGTGGGCCACATGAACAGTGATGGAGGTTTGACCTATTTTTAGGATTCTATTTGGCCATCGCTGGGGCTAAAAGAAATAATGCAGAATTTTAGTAAAGTCTTTCTTTGTCTTCAACACATTTCACTGTTTCTCTTTTTACACTGCTTCCTCTTCTCCCTTATTGAAATGCTGCATTTGAAATGTATTTCTTCTGGCCTCATTTAATCTTATTTTCCATGTCTGTTCTCTGCCCTCTGTTGTCAAGTTCTCTTGGACCTGTCTATCTTGTGTGCAGGAGACAATCACATATAATCAAAGCCTTGTTCTGCAAGTCGGGTTAGTTAAGCAGAGAGAAGGCTGGAAGGTGTTTTGCTTCTCTGGAATGTTACAGACCTGGAGGTATGGCCTGGCGTATAGCAAACCCAAGGGTCCAGAGTTAGCTGCACAGTCAGGTAAGTTATAGAACTGCTCAGTGCAGAACTGGGAGTCAGTTTGTGGCATCAAGGCTTGTCATGCGGATCAGCATGTGCCCAAATCCTATGGTGGTTCTAGGACTGAGCAAGGGCCTTGAGGTTCATTTGACCTAAGTGTGACTGAGGTCGGGATTTCTTGCTACTAAGGAGCAGGGAAGCATGGAAACCACAGCAGCTTCTAGCAACTAACTGATCTGATGCTCCACAGTTTAGTTCTGGATCAGAAATGAGTTGCTTGGACTGGTCCTTTCCCAGAAGAAATTATAGATGGTGTCTGAGAGGCAGGCACTATGAACCCTACAGAGGAAAAAGTTGGATCCTCACTGGGTCCAGCAGGATCTTTAGATTTCCCAGGCTTTGCATGCGTTGCAGTGGAGTCACCATATATAGCCAAAGTCTTACTGTCCACATCAGTGAAAGCAGTGAGCGCTTTGATAACTGGAATTTATAGGTAACTGATGTTCTCATTTATCTTACATATTCAACCCCCCCAACGATGAAAAACAAAACAAAAACCTTTCACTGCTTTTCACACATTAAGTGATTAACTTTTATTTCTCTGCCCTTCTCCACTTTCTAGTATTAGTGGCCAGCTAGAAGGAAGGGGGAGAGGGAAGATGCTTGAAATGACTTATCACGCACTTGAACTTGTTTGGGAGTCTGGGCAACAGTGGCCACTGGTCCTCATTTGGGTCTGCAGGTGTTCCAGAGAGACTCATCTGGGTCTTTGATGCCGATTACCCTCTAAGCATAGCTTCATATGGTGAGCTCCATGAGTCAGCAGAATCTGTATAGATGCCCACCTTGGAGACCAGCAAACCTGGTTCTACTCTCTGCTCTGCAATTAAAAGTCAAGTAGGGTTGAGGGAGGAAGTTATGTGACTTCCCCCTCTAGGACTCAGTTTCAATTATCATTAAATGAGGGAATTGAACAATATATTTATGAGATTCCTCCTAGTCCTGAAAGTCTGATTCTGGCACAGATTGTGTCATTTTGGATTTGCTTCTCTCATTAAGCTGTGTGTAGTTGCTTAAAAATATCTAGTTGACTTGGTCTAAAGGTAGAGTCATATCTTTTTTCAGGTTTCCCGTCATCTTTTTTGACTATTCTATCCTTCTTTTCTTTGCTCAGATAAAACGAAATTCCTTTTCACTACCAGTGTTGGGAACTGGAACTGGAGTTACTATCTCTCCTTGTTAAAAAAGGAGCTGTCTTAACTTCCATTTCTACTGGGCTTGGGGCAAGAGACAGTTGTTGGGGGGCTTGCCTTTGGCCTCGGAGCCTCGAGGATCCACGTATGTGCTCCTCAAAGGTAAGGCCTATATCATTCGGCTTAAAAAAAAAAAAATTCACCCTTATAGCTTGTGTGATGCAGCCAGTATTCAATAAAGAAACATCGCACCTGAGAATAAAATAGCTTTGTCCTTAAATTTCCCCCCGCAACCACTAGGTGTCGCTTTCATCTCAGAGAAACAACGCCCCCTCCTCTCTCCCAGCACCCCCCGCCCCTCCCACTTTCTCAGCTTCTTGGCGCTGTGATTTCTGGAGAAGCGGTTTGAAGACGGATACTAATTGTGGCTCTTCGCAGCGTGGAGAATGGTTTTATGTGCATCTCCTTTATGACAACTGAGAGAAACTCCCCAAGGTCCCATAGCAGTCTCTCCCGGCAACCATAATATCATTCCTGACAAGCTGTTCCTCAGAATCAGATCAGCCCTCCAGATATGGGGTATCTGGGGGGAGCCTTCTAGATTGGAAGCTTGGGAGGGGGCTGGAACCCACGGGGGATACAATGGACTTCTGTTGTTGGGGGGAGTGTTCCGCTTAGTTAGCCCAGGAGCTTTATCAGGTGCTAGCGCGTGCTGCGTGGGAGACAAAGGAGGCCAGGGGCTGCTCGGGGCGCCGGCCCTGCAGCAGATGGTGTGGTGGACGCCGGTGGCTGTGGTGGGCCTCGGAGGACCGGGGAGAGCACGCAGGGGACCCGGGGGCAGGAAGAAGGAGATGGGAGCCTTGAGTCCTAAGAAAGGAGGAGACCCCTGGGAATTGTAAGGGCTCAGGAAAAATCGATCGTGAGCGTCCTTTGGTCCTGGAGGGGCCCGTCTTCCAGCAAGCCGGCGCTTCTTACTGGTGAAGGAGGGCGAGGTTCCTGGCAATGAGAAGGTGTTATGGTTTGCTAGGCGGAGGACTAGCGGAGATTCCAAATACTTGGGGGTTTCTGACTGCTTCCTGGAGACTGGAGGGTTTGAAGGACTCCGCAGAGTGAATAGAGGGGACCCTACCAGGAGAGGGATCCGTGGGGGGTGGGAGGGGAGGCTCCGGGCTGAGAGGAGCGTGTGAGATGGGGAGACAGCCCCGGGGCGTGGGGGAGACAGGGGTAGGCCCTTCCGGTGAAGGGACGCCCGGAGACCTCGCCAGCCTGAGCGGCCTTGTGCGGAGCCCCCGAGTTGTCACCGGGTGGGCTTGAGACCTGGGAGGTCCCTGGGCGCCGCGTTGGGGGGGCGAAGGCGGGGAGACAGCAGGCGCCGGAGGGTGGGGCCGGAGGGGGGGGAGGAGGAAGGGCCGCGGGGAGGGGGGCGGGGAGGGCGGGGGCGGGGCGGGCGCGGGCGGCCTGCCCGCGGAGTCACACTCGGCCGCCGCCGCCGCCGGCGCAGCGAGCGGAGACGGGCCGGGCCGCGGCGACCTGACCTGGACGAGCGGCGCGCCCGGGGGCCCAGGCGGGGGGCGGGAGGAAGCGCCCGGCAGCGCCAGCCGCCCGGGCCCAGGAGGAGCGGAGCGGAGAGGAGCTGGGACACGGGTGGGGCCGCCGCAGCTCCGGATGGGACCAGCGCCCTGGGCCCGTTAGTCCAAGCTGGAGCTTCAGGAGAAGCCTTCACAGGGAGATTTACCCCTGCCTTCCCCTCCCCTCCGGCCCCAGGCCTTGCTTCGCTCGCGCCTGCCCATGGTCCCAGTCCTTCCGCGGTGCGGACCCCTTCCCACCTTACCCCCTTGGTCCTCCTTTTCGCCGCTCTGTGCCCTCCTAGCCCCTTCAGCTGTGAGGTCCCCCCAGGCCTTTTCTTTGTACCAGCCTGTCCCCCAACCCCCACCCCATCCCAGCCTCCGATACCCCTTTCCTTCCTAACTTTAGATCCATCAAACCTACTTCACCTCTCACTGTCCCCATCCCAGTCGCAGCCCCCTCGGTCCCTCCTTCCTCCTGCCACCCTGCTCTTAGTCCTCGGTTTCTGTCCTAGGCAGGCAGACCCACTCCTTTGCCCACCCTCTGGGCCTTCCTCCATCTCCTCCTCTCCCACCCCACCACTTTCGATCCCTGCCTGTCTAGCTTATCCACACTTCTCTTCCTGGCCATCTTCCCCAGGTTCCAGGCTGGGTGCTGCGTGTGCCTCCAGGGTAGGCCAGAGTGGCCCCAGGTTCTGGGGGTGGTGCGGCTGCTGCTTTCTCCCCATGGCACTGCCATCACTCCTGCTGTTGGTGGCAGCCCTGGCAGGTGGGGTGCGTCCTCCCCTGGCACGGAACCTGACGCTGGCGGTGGTGCTGCCAGAACACAACCTGAGCTATGCCTGGGCCTGGCCACGGGTGGGTCCTGCTGTGGCACTAGCTGTGGAGGCGCTGGGCAAGGCACTGCCCGTGAACTTGCAGTTTGTCAGCTCCGAACTAAATGGCGCCTGCTCTGAGTACCTGGCACCACTCGGGGCTGTGGACCTCAAGCTGTACCATGACCCTGACCTTCTGTTGGGCCCTGGTTGCGTGTACCCTGCTGCCTCTGTGGCCCGCTTTGCCTCACATTGGCGCCTTCCCTTGCTGACTGCGGGTGCTGTAGCCTCTGGTTTTGCGGCTAAGAATGAGCATTATCGTACCCTGGTACGCACTGGCCCTTCTGCTCCCAAGCTGGGTGAGTTCGTAGTGACATTACATGGTCACTTCAATTGGACTACCCGTGCTGCCTTGCTGTATCTGGATGCTCGCACAGATGACCGGCCTCACTACTTCACCATCGAGGGCGTCTTTGAGGCCCTGCAGGGCAGCAACCTCAGTGTGCAGCACCACGTGTATGCCCGTGAGCCAGGGGGCCCTGAGCAGGCCACCCACTTCATCCGGTCCAACGGGCGCAGTGAGTGTGGCCCGACTATTGTAGGGTCAGGGGAGGAGGGTCGCTGTATTATTGGAGCTCAGCACGTAGATGGAAACCGTAGATGAGGAGCCGTCTGTGGTGGTTGGGATCAAGAAGCACATGTGGACAGAGCTTAGCCTTGTGCGAGGGCTAAGGCATTACATTAGGGGAGCTTGCCCACGTCATAGGCAGATGTAAACAAGGAATAAGAAAGCATGGGGGTGGAGCTTGTGTCAAGGGAGAGTGGGCCTTGGGGGGAAACAGAATTTGGGGAGCAATGTGAGTGCCCTAGAGTAATGAATGTCATTGACGGCCACTTCAAAGTGTATGAGCAGAGACTTCTCAGTCTGGGCTACCAAGACCCCTTATAGTGTGGGTCTGTGATAAATCACTAAAATAGTGATGACTTTATAAACAGGTTTGGGGGTTCAGCAGATTGCGCTGGGAGGGAACAGGTAAAGCTCACATGGAGAAATTCTGAGCAGCCATTGCCTTCGAGCCTAAGGAGAGGCAGGGCAGAGTTGAGTGAGGAGGGCTGGACAGGAACAGCAGGCAGGGGTCTGAGAAGAGGAGGGGCTTCAGTCTGAAAGCTCCCTTCCTCTGGGGGCTGCAGTCGGTCTCTGACCTCTGCCAGATGGTCCATACAGCCCCAGGGCACTTATGACAGACCTCAGGGGGAAGGACGGGGAGCATCTGTTGTGTGGTTAATAGGTCAGGGCACCCTCTTCCTTGCAAAAGGAAATGCAGGTGGTTTCAGAGAGGGGGCTGTTTGGGGACCTGGATATGTTCTCAGGGTGCCCCTCTGTTGTATACCTGCTCCCAGTTGTATATATCTGCGGCCCTCTGGAGATGCTGCATGAGATCCTGCTTCAGGCCCAGAGGGAGAACCTGACCAATGGGGATTATGTCTTCTTTTACCTGGATGTCTTTGGAGAGAGTCTCGGTACAGGCCCCACGCGCTCTACAGGTCGGCCCTGGCAGGACAATCGCACCTGGGACCAGGCCCAGGCCCTCAGAGAGGCCTTTCAGGTATCATTTAAATCAGACTTGAAGGAGGTGGGGGAAGTGGAACTTCTTTGGAGATTCTCTGTCTCTCTCAAGACCCCACCGAAACCCCAGGAACAGGGCAGGAATTGTGATCTGCCGGAGTGAACAGAGGCTTTTCTAGTTTAGTATCATTCTTACTTCCCCACCTTTGTGACTCCTTCTCATTGTGTCTGCCAAGGCAGCCTCTCAAGATCCCAGAACACTGAGTTTTCTAAGCACCAGTAGTCGACTATAGTGTGGGGAAGAGAGGTTCAGGAAAATATCTGCTCCCAGCCAGTACTAGGGCTTCCACCCTTTCTGGAGAAGTGAGGAATGATGTAATACAATTAGATACAAGTGTGAGAAAGGATATGCTCATGTGTCCTTGGGACAGACACCAAGAACTTTAGAGGGGACTAAATGGTAATGGGAAAAAAATACAATAAAGATTAAAAAAAAAAAAGAACTTGAGTGGTTCAGAGGAGGGAGACTCAGTGTGGCTGAGGTTAGGGATGACTTTTATAAAGGAGTGAGGCTCTTTTGTGTCTGTAAAGATAGATGTCACATTCCTGGTCAGGGCGTGAGTGAGGATCCAGGCAGCCCGAGCAAAGAGAAGAATATTGGGATGGGCATGTTTGGGGGACCAAGAAGATACTGGCCTGACAGGGAAGAAGGGTTCACCTGAAGTAGATACAGGGAGTAATGTTGCTAAGATATAATCAAATTAAGGTATAATCAAGTAAAAAAATGAATCTAAGACTGAGGCACTTGGACCTAAAGGTGGGGTCCTTGATATTTTTTTGTAAAGAGAAATATAGTGACAGAGTTCAGGTTGGATTGGAAGAAGAGGAGGCCAGACGCAGTGAAATCACTTGTAGTAGGTTAGAATGGAGTGTGACGATATGACCTTGAACTAGGGTGATAACAGCAGGAATGGAAAGAAGTGGATTTGAGAAACAGTTTATGGGGAGAATTGACATGACTCTGTTCATTTCACTCTTATCAAAACTTTCAGTGACTTATTTCCTATAGAATTAAGTTCCAATTCATTATTTCATTTAAGACCTTCTACAGTCTGTCCTCAACCTACTTTTTCAGTCTTACCTCCTAATGCCCTTCATACCAAGTACTCTAGCCCCTGACCCTTGGGCATCCATACCCTTACTCCTCCCCACCCCATCTCCCCATCTTTGTGTCTTTGATTCTTTAAAAAAAAAAAAAGATTTTATTTATTTATTTTTAGAAAGAGGGGAAGGGAGGGAGAAAGAGAAACATCAGTGTGCGAGAGATACATTGACCTGGCCCCCAACCCAGGCATGTGCCCTGACTGGGAATCAAACCAGCAACCTTTCAGTTCACAGGGCGGCACTCAATCCACTGAGCCACACTGGCCAGGGTACTCTCTGATTCTTTTGTCTGGAATACTCTTCCTTTCCTTCCCCCAAATCTCTGCTACTCAAGATCATACCTATGGATTGTTCTATGATTCTTCCACAAGTTTTTCACTAACTTAACGCACGTAAGCATTTCTTAATTATTTATCCATAGTCCTCCTTTTCCCAAAAAGGATGTAAGCTGGTGTATGGGATAACCTTAAGATCCTTTCAACCTGGAGATTCTTTCACTTTAAGTAGATGTGTATAAGGGCTGGACTTAGGTGGCCATCTTCTCCAATGAGTAAGGTTTATATGTGTGATTGTGACTGCCTAGTGTACGCCTCACCATGAATGACATTACCTGTTTGCATGCCTGAGTATGAGTATGTGACTGTCACACTTGAGCACAGGCAGTGGCAGGACAGGTTTTGTTTATTTCATAACTTTTGACTAAAATAACTTTCTCACCTTTGTTCATCTGAATAATGCTTGTGTATTCTTCAGGACTCAGACTGATTATCTTCCCTTCTAGGAAACAACCCCTGAATCCCCAGATTAGACTGAGTTTCCTACTTTTGTGCTTAACCCTGTCTACTATAGAAGTTACACATTATTCAGTGTTCGATTCATTTGAAGACTGACTTATTCTATTAGTGTTTGTTGAGCACCTACTGTGTCTCAGTCACTATGCTAGGTACTGGTATACAGTGGAGAACATAACCGATGTAGTCCCTGCTTTTTTGGAGCTTATATTTAGTAGGGTAGACAGACATTAAGCAAATAAATACAAATATAGAATAAATTGTGATGTGTTAGTTAAGGAAAAAAAGAGAGAGAGAATAAACTGGTATGAGAAGAAAATTACAAGGGGGTTGTATGTTAGCTAGTGTGGTCAAGGAAGGCTCCTGTGATCCTCCCGGATGGGAGGTTTCCATAGCTTTTGCAATGTATTTTTTCTGTGAAAAGAACACCTCTGTTTCTTGTGTGAGAATTTCTACCAGCCAAGGGTCTCCAGCACTTAAAGTAGGGGAGGAGGGATCTAGTCAGCTAACAATCTGTTATATAAATTAATCCTCAGTTCTCCTACTCATTATTCAGGCAGAAAAACAAAGAGGAAGAGTTTGCTGTAGCACAACAGAAGGGGAAACAGGCAGTCAAGAACATGCTAAAGGGAAAACCAAGGCTTTGGGGTGCGGTGGGATGGGGTGGGATGAGGGGGTGATAAGGTGTCCTTTTCCAAAGCTGAAGCAGGGCAGGGCTGAGGGAAGTTGGATGGATAGCTCCAGCCAAGGATTAAACAGCAGAGTGCCCTACCCCAGAGATACCTGGCCCACGGGGGTCCAAAGCCAGGCCAGTCTGAAAAACGTGGCAGTAGAGGTGAGAGTCCTTGATACAGATGCGCAAAGCTTTTCCAGGAGGGTCACACCCCCCAGGAAAGGCTCCAGCCCGTGCTGGATAGGGTGCTTGAGGGCAGGGGTCATGCTCATTTTTGTAGTCCGTGTGCCGAGCACATACTTGTTGAATTGAGGTGTATGTTGGGGAGAGTAGGGAGAGGGCTAGGAATTCGTCTACACAGGTGCAGAGCTGGCAGGTACTGTATGCCAAGATGATCAACCAGGAAAGGGAAGAATAAGCAGATGCAGGGGAACTAAATATGCAAATGACCAGCCTCGAAGAATCCACAGGCCTAGGCTGAGCAGTGGAGGACTGCAGGGTCAGAAACCCAGGCAGAGGTCACAACCTAGGTGACTGGCATGATATTGGGCTACATACAGGGGACACCAGCAGCTAGGATGGAACAAGCAGTAAAGCAAGGGCTGTGTGTAAGGCTGAACCCCCTTGGGAGACTCTTCTTTGTCTTTTTAGGCCACAGTTGACAGGGCCCACTGTGGCTGCTGGAGGAGGTCGCAGGCAGAGGCAGGCCTCGTGCCGGTGCCCCTGCACAATTCCTAGGTGCACTCTTGGCTTTCACCCACTACTTGAGCCATATTTGGCAGACTTCGCTTGTTTTTTTCACCTGGGGTCCACTGTGAAATGAGACGCACTTACTTACCTTCACCTTCTCTTTAACCTCCATACAAACACAGAAACTCTTTGGAGGTCCCTCCCTCCCTCCCTCCCTCTCTTCCTTCCTTCCTTCTTTCCTTCCTTCCTTCCTCCCTCCCTCCCTCCCTCCTCTCCTTCTCTCTCTCTCCCCACCCCTCTCTCCCAGTAACCACAGCAAAACAGTCTAGCATAGCAGTTTTCAAAGTGTGGTCTTGGGATCCTGGGGGCCCCTGAAATCCTTTTAAGGAACCATGAAGTCAAAACTATTTTAAAAATTATACTAAGATGTTATTTGCCTCTGTCACTGTCATTCTTTCATGATTGTACAGTGGAGTTTTCCAGAAGCTACGTGACATGCGATGATGTCATTACTCTGGCAGCTATGGGAAGTGTGTGTGTGTGTGTGTGTGTGTGTGTGTGTGTGTGTGTTAAAACTTTTGTCAGTTTTAACTTCTAGTATTTTAAAAATTATAGATATAATACAAATACACAAAAGCTCTGGGGTCCTCAATAATTTTTAGTAGTGTAAAGAGGTCATGAGACCAAAAAGTTGAGAACTGCTAACCTAGTGAACAAACAAACCTCTCTAAGTTTGCTAAGTGTTTAAAAGCATTAAAAACCTATCACCAGCCTTTATATAGAATCATAAATGTGTTCAACCTGATCTTTTCTAGCTCTTTTACTGGCTTTTTACATCATTTGTCAATATCTTACCCTTCTATTTTTCTTTTATTCTTGGGACAGGTGTTAATGAAAGAACTCTTCCAACCCCATCCTCAGTCCCCTTCTCTTTTTTAATTTTGCCCAAGAGCAGGAGAGTATTAGAAGTGTGTGATCAAGCATCCAAATGCTCCAGTAAGAGTAATTACATCATAAAGCAAACTCCTGTCTAATATAATGAATGAACATTAGGAATTGACTTCAGCCCTGGCTGGTGTGGCTCAGTGGATTGAATGCTGACCTGTGACTCAAAAGGTTGATGGGTCAATTCCCATTCCGGGCACATGCCTGGGTCGTGGGTCAGGTCCCCAGTTGGAGGCATGTGAAAGGCAACCAATCAATGTTTCTCCCGTGTGCACATTGATGTTTCTCTCCCTCTCTTTCTCCCTTCCCCTCCCTCTAAAAAAATGAATAAATAAAAAGTTTCTGTAATAAGCCAGGGGAAGATAACGTAGTCCTGATGAACAACAGAAGCTGTAAAACAGAAAAAGAAAAAAAAAAAAGAAATTGACTTCATTATTTCCTACCTATAATGGATTTATATATAACAGGTTATATGTGACATACCTAGTATCTCTGTGGTCTGTATGTGCTTCCTGTGACAGGAATGAACAAAACAGAAATGACTAGATTTAAATCTGTCCTTTCACAAAGTCACATTTCAATATATATTGATCTGTCTTTCCCTGAAGTTGGTGGAGCCAGTTTCCTGTTCAAGGCAGAGGCTGGTCTCAGTGATTGTGCAAGTCTGGGGTGGAGGTGGAGGCCGGTGTGTCCAGCAGCTAAGAAAGGGGAAAGGTGTGAGGCCAGAGGGAGCCAGGCAGCCACCCCGGTGAGAGACAGAGACACCCTGACTTGTGGCCAGTGAGATGTGTGCGTGGCTGAGACCAAATGTGTCATTAGCTTATCTATGAAATGTGTGTAGGCGTGTGGCTGTGTTTTCTCTGTGACACATGTCTATTACCTAGTGACGTGTGGGGCCATGTCAGTACGCAGGACTGTGCTGCTTGGGGTAGGTGTTTCATGCACGTTAAATGAATGGGCTCACGGTTTTTCACAGATGGAATCACTGTCTCAAAGTATTTCCCCCAGTTGTCATAGGACCTGAAATCTCTTTGATTCACTGGGTGGAGACACTGTTTCTGAATGTCCCAAATGGGAATGTAAACATATTACTGATAACATTAATTAACACCTCAGAGAGGAGCTGTTGATCAGTGGTGCCCAGAAAGGATGGGACAGACATGCTGCAAGTGCTGTGGCAGCCCTGCAGGGAGGCCTGGGTGGCCGCAGGGGCTTCAGGTAGGGGCTGGGTTTCGGGGACGGAGTTGGCTTCGTCTGCTTCCCAGGCTCCACTGTCCCAGAACAATCCTCTATACCTTTCTCTGGGGGCGTGCCACTCCCTCTCCCCAGATGTATTAAACACACACCACATGTACCCCCACACAGGCACACAACATAGAACTGAGTATCCTCTTACCCTTCAGACTCATCCATGTATAGTTTATATCATGTGTATTTCACCAAGTTTCCCTAACCTGCTTCCTCTCTTCCCCTAATGCCCATCTTGAATGTCCTGTTCATTTCTCCCCATGTGCTGGTGGTACAGACGGTATTGGTCATCACATACCGAGAACCCCCAAATCCTGAGTATCAGGAATTCCAGAATCGTCTGCTGATAAAAGCCCGGGAAGAGTTTGGTGTCGAGCTGGCCCCCTCCCTGGTAAGTAGATCTCTCTCTCCTGAGAATCAGGCCAGACTCTGAGGGAAGACTCATCTCCCTAAGTCAGCATTAAGCCGTGGCTGTGTCGTCAGCCCTACTTTGGGGGCTGTCCACTTCCGTCCAGGATTTTCCTTCTGCCCTAGTGTCCCGTGAGGTAGGGATGGCACCTTAGAAATGAGAGGAGGGAAGAAAGCAAAGCACAAGAGAGAAACGGTAGGAGAAGCCAAGGATGGAAAAGGGGGCTGGGGAGGGAAGCCCGGCAGACGTTCGGAGAGCACCGCTGAACTTACCACCCCCAGATGAACCTCATCGCTGGCTGCTTCTATGATGGGATCCTGCTGTACGCTGAAGTCCTGAATGAGACGATACAGGAAGGAGGCACCCGGGAGGATGGACTTCGAATTGTGGAAAAAATGCAGGGACGGAGATATCAGGGTAATAAAGAGGGTCAGATGGAGGCTTGAGGGCTGCCATCAGGCTCAGGAGTGAAGTGGGCAGGAGAAAATACAGATACTGGGGCAGGGAGGGGGGTTAGTAGGGGTCAGAGAACCTGGCAGAGGTGGGCACATATTAAAAATGGGGTCAGAGACGGACCCTGAGGTAATTGGAGGGACTGTGGAGAGGGGAGAGGGGCCTAGGGTAGGTCTCAAAGTAAGGGCTACACTTTTCCACCTTAGGTGTAACTGGACTGGTTGTTATGGACAAGAACAATGACCGGGAGACTGATTTTGTCCTGTGGGCCATGGGAGACCTGGATTCTGGGGATTTTCAGGTGATGGGGGAGGAGACAAGGAGGAGAGCGTGGGCCCTGCCAGCTTAGCTTTCCAGGGTCCAGTGGGGGTGAAATCAAAGGTACTAGAGGCAGGCACTTCTTTTCTCTGCCGAAGCTGCATCCTGGTGGGGAGGGTAGGAGGTTGGGGAGAAAAGCAGTCCAGTAACGGGCCCAGGGGAGGAGGCTGCGGGGAGCAGGCCCGTGGGCCCAGTTCTCTCCTTCCTCACAGCCTGCAGCCCACTACTCAGGAGCCGAGAAGCAGATTTGGTGGACAGGACGGCCTATCCCCTGGGTGAAAGGGGTGCCCCCCTTGGACAATCCCCCCTGTGCCTTTGACTTGGACGACCCGTCCTGTGATAAAAGTGGGTGTGTGCAGGGACTGGGAGCAATCCTTCCTCCCTTTACTTTCCATTCTTCTCCCTCCCCTCACTGACTCCCCGCCTTAGCCCCACTTTTACCTCTACTTCTATTCTCCCTCCCTACTTCTTTCCCTCAAGAAACCTGTCTGCTCCCTGCACCCTGGGCGTCACCCTTCCCATCCTTACAGCTGCACACACAGTCTTTCTCAGGGTCCCACTCTCCCCTTTAGCTCCACTTTCAACTCTGGCAATTGTGGCTCTGGGCACAGGAATCACCTTCATCATGTTTGGTGTTTCCAGCTTTCTCATTTTCCGGTGAGTTCTGGGCTTTCCGCTGACCTGCGTCCTCCCTCCCCATTGCCACACAGCCTTCTGGCTCAGGCCAGGTGGTCCCTATAGCGTGGGGTGGGGGTAGGCCTCTTAGTTTGGTGGTTGTCTCTTAGACCTAATGTCCTCCTCTCTAGTCTTTTGCTTTAGTTGTCTTTTTAGCTTCGGTGTTGTCTTTCCACTTTTGGTTCGAGACTGCGTATACTAACTATTGATCGTGAGCGGGGTCTTTCAAGGGCAAAGGTGAATTTTCCATGCATGCTGCCATTTTAAGAAAAACTTCTGCCTTTGGCCTCTGTGTTTCTAAATGAGCACAGGACACGTGTCGGATATGTCGACAGTGCAACCTTCTCTCTCAGTCCTGTGTCTTGGGTGTAAAAATTGCTGCTTCAGGAGCTGCAGGGAAGCCCCTGCAACCCCGCTGCTGGTTTATGGGGTGGTGGGACTGGGCTTGCCAGTCAACTGAGGTGTGCAGTCCTTACAGAAAACTGATGCTGGAGAAGGAGCTGGCTAGCATGCTGTGGCGCATTCGCTGGGAGGAGCTGCAGTTTGGCAATTCAGAGCGATATCACAAAGGCGCAGGCAGTCGCCTCACACTGTCGCTGGTGAGCCCTTGTCTCAGCTGTCCCTCTGCTTTCCTTTGAGTTCCTGTCCTTTCTTACCCTGGACCTTTCCCAGCACATTGGCCTGTAATGATAGCCCCTGCGCTACCACCGCCATCTAATGTTCCTTTCATCCTTCCGCCTCCATGTTGCCCTTGGCCCCAGCGGGGATCCAGTTACGGCTCGCTTATGACAGCCCATGGGAAATACCAGATCTTTGCCAACACCGGTCACTTCAAGGTGAACAGTCATCCGCTTGTTCTGGTCCCCACCATTTCATCCTGTCTCATCCCCATCTGTCACCTCTTCCCATGAACCTCTGCCCCACATAACCCTCCTCTCTGTGCCCAGCTGAGCTCCTAGAGGCTCCTGCAGTTCTGCAGTATTCCTAGCACCCAGAAACTCCTTCCGATATTAATTTTTCCTTTTCCTCTTTTACTCCCACTATCAGGGAAATGTTGTTGCCATCAAACATGTGAATAAAAAGCGTATTGAGCTGACCCGGCAGGTTCTGTTTGAACTCAAACATGTACGTAAAGGTGTACAGGTTGAGGACAAGGGGTAAACAGGGATGGGGAAGCGGCGGGGCGGGGGGCAGTGTGGAACAGTGAAATTGGCTAGGAGGACAATGGGTTCATTTATAAAATGACTTGAAGTTGCAGGTCCAATTAAGAGAAAGGTCCTCTCATATTGTGGTAGATTTCTCTAATTTATAGCTCTTTTAATTCCCTTCTACTTCTCATTTTTTTTCCTAGATGAGAGATGTTCAGTTCAACCATCTCACTCGCTTCATTGGTGCTTGCATAGACCCTCCCAACATTTGCATCGTCACTGAATATTGTACTCGTGGGAGTTTACAGGTGAGGGATGAGTGGAGATTGCAGGTGTGAGGGAGATAGGCCCAAAGTTACATTGACTCTATGCAGGTGATAGCTAGTGGGGCTAGGATAGTCACATACTCTATTTCATGTCACTTGCCAGGATATTCTGGAAAATGACAGCATCAACTTGGACTGGATGTTTCGTTATTCACTCATTAACGACCTTGTTAAGGTGAGTCTTCTCTATGCCTCTTTAAGAGTTCATCCATTTTATAATTCTTCCACCTTTCTATCTTTGCTCATGATTTTTCCTTCTAGTCCTCTAAAAATCCCATACTCTCCATATCCCCTAGTCTTGTTTTTGGGTAATAATGGGTGAGCAAAAGGTCTGGGGCTTTAATTGGGAGGAATGTCTTTGTAGAGATATCTCAAATCTATCTGCATTATTTTTTTTTTTTTTACCTTCCAAGAGCTTATATTAAAATCCTTGGGCAAGGAAAAGATGAATGGGGTCTCCAAAAATATCTACCTCTTTTTTTCATCATTTACTCAGTATTTGGCGTATCTGCTCCTTTGTTCAGAAAAAATGACATATAAAAAAAATTTACTAGTAAAACTAAGATAAACTAAGGAAAAGTATACAAAACCTTTGGTATTTTCTGATATACTAGGTTTCAGCTATTTTCAGGTGGCCCAGAGGTCCATGGGTTCGCGAGGGTATAAATTTGAACCTTGCACGGGTTGGACAGGTGTTCAGAAGCAAGTGCCATAGCCAGTAAGCTAACCTAGTGTATCATTCGCACCACACTTGAAGCTGGCTTTGATTTTTCTGCTTAATGCTCATGAGGTTGTTAAAAAAAACCTTTGTGTGTGTGTGTGAAATCTTGCCATCAAATGAAAGATAAAAAGCTGGTGTGGTGCCCAACTGGACGTGTGCTGATAAACATAAGAAAAACATAACTTTTGAGAGAACAACGATTTGATGGCAAAGTGATCTGGAACAAAGTCAGAAGCTAATCATTTCTGCATTCACAAGTTTGGAGGTTCCCAAAGGTTTTGTTGATATTGAAAGGAGTAAAAAGGAAGTGTTCACAGAGACTAGAGTTAGGAATTGTTTCCGTCCAGAGCTAAACATTTAGGCAGAGGTGTTTTGGTTAGCATACAAAACACTGTATTCTTTTTCGGTGCCACCTGAACTGACGTGGGTGGGTCCCAGGGTTTCCTTTGGGGAAGCACCACTCTGCCTTCTTAGGACCTGCCTTATAGTCCCTCACAGGCAAAGGTTCTCTCTTCTCAGCCTCAGGGGCCCGGAAGTTTCAGGCTTCTGCACTTGCTGGGCAGCTGTCTCCTATTGTTGTCCATCTTCCAGGGTTTTTTTTTCATCCAGGGTTTTCTAATTTACTATGTTCTACACTTATTTTCTGGCCCAGCGTCCCCTCTGGCAGATCACTTTCCTCCTTCATCCTGACTTGCCTGCCTACACATGGGTATACATTGAAGTTTACAACGAGTTAGTCTCCCTTGATGCATCTAGGTACTCTTGATACTTGGGTCTCAAGCCATGTCTTCCTAAGTAGTGGCTATGCATTTGAGGCCACCGTGGGAGTCATATCATTCTTGGAGTTCGTCCTTATAATTCTGTTCTCTTCACTACTCAGAAGACTGACAGCCCTATCCAGGCTAACAACTGAGACAGTTCCCTTTGTCCCTCCTCTTAAGCATTTCTCCTATCCCTGGTACTTGAGTACCAGTAGATTGAATTTGGTACAAGGAAGGGATGACCCTCCTATTCTGCCTGCTTCCTTGCATGGAGACTGTGCCCAGGAGGCCTTCCACAATTAGTTTACGGTGTTTATGGTCCCATGATCTTTAGACAGCTAGTTAATGCCCATCGCATTGCCAGTGGGGAGGGGAGAGTATCCTAGGGCAGAAATGATCCAATCCCATGACTTGTTCTATATCCAACAGGGCATGGCCTTTCTCCACAACAGCATTATTGCATCCCATGGGAGTCTGAAGTCCTCCAACTGTGTGGTGGATAGTCGTTTTGTGCTCAAAATCACGGACTATGGCCTGGCCAGCTTCCGATCAACTGCAGAACCTGATGACAGCCACGCCCTCTATGCCAGTGAGGCCTCCCCCTCAACTCCCAACTCCATTTTTATATTGCTCCTCTAGTCCTAGTGATCTCTACCTAGGGAGGGCAGGAGAGGGAGACGGAGTGACAGTACTATGGAGAGCATTATGGGAGTGAGCCCATGTGGTCTTGGGAATAACCTTTTTGAGGACTCAGCCAGTCTGTTCCCTCTTTTCAGAGAAGCTGTGGACTGCTCCAGAACTGCTCAGTGGCAACCCCTTGCCCACCGCAGGCATGCAGAAGGCTGATGTCTATAGCTTCGGGATCATCTTACAGGAGATAGCACTTCGCAGTGGTCCTTTCTATGTGGAGGGCCTGGACCTCAGCCCCAAAGGTAAGAGTCAGTCTACTACCTACAGCCTCATCTACATGGGGGGCCCTGTTCTTCATCTAAATCCTTTATCACCTTCAGAGATTGTTCAGAAGGTCAGAAATGGTCAGCGGCCATATTTCCGGCCTAGCATTGACCGGACACAACTGAATGAAGAACTAGTTTTGCTGATGGAGCGATGTTGGGCCCAGGACCCAGCTGAGCGGCCAGACTTCGGACAGATTAAGGCCTTCATTCGCCGCTTTAACAAGTGAGAGGGCGCTGAGGGGCAGGGGCTCCCCAGGGACAGAAGCCTCATCAGGCTTAGCGGATGAGGTGGGGGTGGTCGGGGCCAGGAGGGTCGGTTGGGCAGAAAGTCCTGGGAGTCTTGAGAATCTTGGAGCAGCTACCATATTCTGCCTTCCCTCCCCGCTGCCCCCGCCCAGGGAAGGTGGCACCAGCATACTGGACAACCTCCTGCTACGCATGGAGCAGTACGCCAATAACCTGGAGAAGCTAGTGGAGGAACGCACACAGGCCTATCTGGAGGAGAAACGCAAAGCTGAGGCTCTGCTCTACCAAATTCTACCCCAGTGAGACTTTTGTCCCCCTTCCTGCCTTTTCCTTTGATATCTGCTCTGTTGGATTGTACCTCACCATCGGTCTCCTGAGAACTCGCCTTCCAGCTCTTAGAACCCTGCGTTGTTACATCTGGTCACAGTGAGCCTTTCCGGCCACAGGCTGTTTTCATTCTATCTCCAAATGAGCTGTGCTGCCTTCTTCTTAGGACATTGGTCTACTGTGCCTTTGCTCTAGCAAGTGTCTGTAGAAAAATCCCAATTTAAGACATTTAACCCCTATCCCCAGGGAGCCCATTCCAATCCCCTATCACCTCTACAGCCTACTTTGTGCTAGACTGTAATGTCTTCTCAGCCACCTTTTCTCCTTCATTAGGCTCAGTTTTCATGTTAGAACTAAGCCATTTCTTTACTTTTGGCTCAACTGCACCCTTGCTTTCTAGTTCAGTGGCAGAGCAGTTAAAACGGGGAGAGACGGTCCAAGCTGAGGCCTTTGACAGTGTTACCATCTACTTCAGTGACATCGTTGGCTTCACAGCTTTGTCAGCAGAGAGCACCCCAATGCAGGTGAGAGCGATGGGTGAGATTAGGAGGTGGGACAGGGACGTGGGGGAGCTTCCCTGGGGCGTAGTGATCCTTGCTAATAGGAAAGATTAGTTTGTTCTGGAGTTCCCATATCTCATTATGGCTCTTGGGCTAAGAATTCTTAGAAGTTGGACACAAGTCTCAGGGCCTCAACTTTCCCATCCATTAGGTGGTGACACTTCTTAATGACCTGTATACCTGCTTTGATGCCATAATTGACAACTTTGACGTCTACAAGGTGAGAGCTGGGCCTACCCTCCTACTGAGACCCCTTTGAAACCCAGTCTCCCTGAACCCCACGTGCCTTACCTGTTCCATGGTCATCCCCCCACGCCCCCGCCCGCGTCTCCAGCTCCTAGTGCTGCAGTGCCCTTTGTAGACAAACGAGGCTCTGGCTCTCTAACGACATTCCAGTCTAATTTCCTGTGAGTGCTTAGGCTTCCCTGCTCGGAACCATCACAAGATTTAGCCCCTAGCTGCTACATTGTCCTGAGGGTATAAAAACAGCCTGTCTTTTCTCTTTTTCTGTTCCCCTCCAAACACTCCCCTCCAAACACGGAAGAATCATACAGGATGTGGGTACAGAATGAGTTATTGGGGATGAGGGATAAGCTGTGTTGTAAAAGGTTTTTGTTGAATTCAATTGAGTTAGCACAGGATGGGCTTTATTGTGCTTGGGAGTAAAAATTATTTCGATTCAAATGTTGGCTTTGTGACTCATTGTGTGGCCTTGAGCAAGTAACTGGAGGCGCTTCCTGCACCTCAGATATTTTATTGGTAATATGGGAATAGATTTATTGTGGAAAATGCCTTATATTGTATAGATAATTAATATTCGTTCTTGTTCCTTCCTTTTGGATTTACTCTATTATCTCTGTTAGAACTGTAACAAAGTCCTCCCATAAACCCTTTACTCAGATTCACTAATTTTTATATGTTTCCCCGTTTGCTTTACTTTAAAAAATTATCTACATAATTATTTTCTGAACCATTTGAGAGTAAGTTTCAGACATAGTTCCTGTTTATCCTAAACAATTCGGAGTCTAGCTCCTAAAAACAGGGACATTCTCTTACACAGCTTCAGTACAGTGAACAAAACCAAGCACCTGCCTTCTTCCCTTTGATAGTTCAGCCTGTCTGAGGCCCATTTCATTGGGCCTGCTTGACCTCCTGCAGCCTCTGTGCTTTTCAGGTCAGTCCTGTTTTTTTGCTTCCCATTTCCTGACAGCAGAGCCTATTTGTCCACGTCTTTTTGCAAACGGTGCCCATTCATTCAGCGAACGTTCACTGGGTATTCACCAGGTGCTGGGGTAGAGCAGGAAGATTTAAAGATTCCCTTGACTCCCCTTCCCCCCATATTCTCAGGACCATGGCACTTATTTTTCTAGCCAATGTTCTGGCCTCCCAGGCTGTCAGGATGACTCATAGTGGTGTCCAGCTTGTTTCCTTCTGCTCTTTTCCATTCCCACTGATACAGATGGAAGTGACATTTTAGTCCCCCTCTCAATCAGGTAGAGACGATTGGAGATGCCTACATGGTGGTATCTGGTCTCCCAGGCCGAAATGGTCAACGCCATGCCCCGGAAATTGCTCGTATGGCCCTAGCGTTACTAGACGCAGTTTCTTCCTTCCGCATTCGCCACCGACCCCATGACCAGCTGAGGCTACGCATTGGGGTCCACACAGGTAAGGCTAACTCTCACTCCAGCCCCAGTATCCACCTTTCCCAGGCTCTCCCAATCTGTTTCTTCTCATAGGACCCGTCTGTGCTGGGGTCGTTGGCCTGAAGATGCCCCGCTATTGCCTTTTTGGAGACACGGTGAACACTGCTTCCCGAATGGAGTCTAATGGTCAAGGTGAGACATTAACCCTCAATCCCAGCTTCAGTCTCAATCTGTGTTGCCCTTTTCTTCTTTTCAGAGTTTCTCCAAATCTCTCATTCTGAGACTACAGTTCCTGACTGCCCCATCCTTGGACATATTTAGGTTCTGGTGCATGGGCACTGGGAAGACTGAGAGCCTCCTGAGGGGTGGTGGTTGGGTGGAGCTCTGTCTGACACCACCAATTCTCCTGTTGCCTTTTTTCTTCTTTCCTCCATCCCCCCACATCCCGCCCCAGCCCTGAAGATCCATGTCTCCTCTACTACCAAGGATGCCCTGGATGAGCTAGGATGCTTCCAGCTAGAGCTTCGGGGAGATGTGGAGATGAAGGTGATCGCAGACCAGGGGAAGGGGGTCATGGAAAGGGAGGAGGAAAATGATTATGGAGATCATGGGGGAAGAGAGGGAGATAAAGGGAATAACATAGAAGAATCTGAATTATATCCACTCCTCCGCTCCCAGGGAAAAGGAAAGATGCGAACTTACTGGCTCCTAGGAGAGCGGAAAGGACCTGCTGGACTTCTGTAAACCCCAATCCTTTTCAAGTCAGATAATCTCCTGCTGCTGGTACCTGGGTAGGCAGTCGCTATCATCTCTCCATACACCAGAAATGGACATTATCGTATGAGATGGAAATCACCCTTATATGGAAGTTGTTGACCTTTGCAGCTCAGCCTTGTACATATACCTGCCCCTCTCTGACCTGGTCCCCTTCTTCCCACCTTCTGTAAATATCTGTATCTAAACCAGAATATTTTGGCCAATTATAAAACAACAACAACAACACCACCCATGATGGCATAGTCTGGGCAGCTCCAAGGAAAGGTTATGGGGGTATGAACATGGAAACTCAGGGAATCACTGAATTAGCAGACTCAGAATCACAAAGAACCCTTTATGTGAAGCCCCTTCCGCAAGTACACACAGAATTCATTTCCTCCCCACCTTTCCAGTACAGACAGAAATAGATTCCATATTCCACATCTCACTTCCCTCCTCAGCCCTTAGACAGTTCTATCCCCTCTGCCACCCTGCCCTCTTCCCTCACAGCCAAGGGAAGAGATTTCTCCCAATTGGTAGCAATAATTCTCAGGTTCATAGGGCAAAGGCTCCCCCAGGGACAAAGGCACTGGTGTTGAGAAGCTGCAGTTCTTCCGGAATGGTGTGTCCAGTGTCCTGATGTTACTGACACCCTGTAGGAATGCCAGAATGAGGACAGATCCTATTCTGCCGAGCTAGAACAGAACCTCTTCCCGTCCTTCTTCCCTCACTCCTCCCAACACCTAGTCACCCACCGGTAGCTGTGGTGCCCTCTGTATCCAGAAAGTTTCAGGCTGCTCCTTACGGTAGTCATGAGGCTGTGAGGGAGAAATAACTAAATAACTCTTGGCCTAAAGCTTCCTCTCTCAGCCTCTGCATCTGCTGCTTTCCCACAGCCCCACAGAGCCCAGCTGAATATGACGGGTGGGATGGGTTCTCACCTTTGTTGGGGCAGGAGGCCCTGCCTGCGCCAGCTTCTTTTGGTAGTCATGGTGTGTCACAGACTCCACCTCAAAGTGCTTCCTTGTGGGTTTCTGCTCTGCCTGCACCTCTTTACTAAATAGTCATGGGGGCGTCAAAGCCATTCTTCCCTGGTTTCTGTCCTCCCCCATCCCCTTACCCCTTAACCCAGCCTCTCACCAGATCTGGTGGCACAGGAGCACCTCCAGCATGGCTTCACGCTTCCCTGTGGGAGGGCAAGGAGTGGGCAGATGGGGGCATCTGGTTAAGAAGCAGGCCCAGAAGAAACAAAGTTGAGAAAAGGAAGGAAAATCATGGGGTTTTTCCCTCACACCCATTGGACAATCCATAGTCCCACCACGAATTCCTTCCTCTCTTTTTTTTCTCTGGCTGTTAAGACTCATTCTGGCCCATTCCCTCATGCTTCACACCTCTAATTGGCTGAGAGCGGTTTCCTGGGGGCTGGTATGAGTCTTTCTGGGTGGTGCTGAGGGGCATGGGTGACTGTAGCTGCAGGGTTAGCAGTCCCTGGTGTCCGTGTCGAAAATAGAAGCTCTCGGAGCCATCCTGCATGCTTGGGACTTGATCCAGGTGGTTGGTGGCTCTCTGTGGGCCCCAAGTTGAGTGATCATATCTTTTCTGGTCCCCACCTACATCACACACTACTGCCTCCCCCAGGAAACTAGGGGTGGCCTTTAAGAAAAGGGAGTAGGTCAAAACCTTAATACCTCTTCCTCCCAGTTGTGGAGAAGGCACTGGCCCCGTGGCAACGTTCTGATGACAACCTTATGCTTCCCTTCATCCTCAGCAGGCTTCCAGAGCCCTCGGGCAGCAGGTTCTGAGACTTGCAAAATTTTCCAAGGTTGTTTTTTGGGCTCCCAGGGTTGGTAGTGATTTCCAGAGGCATCATTAGGGACCAAGTCTGCTCCCGGATTTCTGAAGCTTGTAAGAGTGTCAGGACTGAGCTTAGGGCCATTGCCACAACCTGGACTAGGCCCAGAGTCACAGCCAGGACCATGGCCAGAATCAGGACCGGTACCTTGACCAGAGCCATGGCCAGGACCAGAGCCACGGCCAGGACCAAAGCCATGGCCAGGATCAGAGCCATGGCCAGGATCAGAGCCATGGCCAGAACCAGAGCCATGGCCAGGATCAGAGCCATGGCCAGAACCAGAGCCATGGCTAGAACCAGAGTCATGGCTAGGACCAGAACTGGAGGCAGGAACTGGGCCAGAGCTAGAGCCAGTCACAGGGTCAGGGCTACAGCTCAGGTCATTTGTAGTACAGGGATCCCGAGCAATACAGGAAACATAGACAGGCTTAAAGCCAATTCTCCCATGGCCTATCTTGTGGGTAAAGCTGGGTCCGGGGCAGGGCTTCCCAAGCGGACTGTCAGAGGAGGGATCCATGAGAAGGCTTCGCTCAGAATAGGGAGCTTGGGTCTTTGCAGATAATACAGCTGCTTTGGCAGTGGAGGCGACTGCAGTGGCTGTAGCGGCTGCTGCAGCTGCTGCAGCTGCTGCCTTTGCGGCTGCCAGGGCCGACCTAGGACCGCCGTCCGAAGAAGGAAACGATTCCGAAGAGGATTCCAGTCCTCGAGAGGCGGGCTGTACTTGGAAAGATCTGAAAAAAAGCGAATGCGTGAAAGTTGTCAAAAGGTCATGAGAGGAAGTCCGCTGACTCTTCTTGTTCCCTAACGCCTGCAGCCAGAGCCGCGGCTCTCACCGTAACCGCGATCCCTCGGTAGAATCAAAGTTCTCCATCTTCGGACACCAGCTACCGGGTTGCCATAGAGACGGCAAATAACTCCAGGAGACTGCGCAGGACTCGAGCTGGGCGGACGTGGAGAGTGGGGGTGGAGTCAGGTTCTCTGCGGGGCGGAAGTCTTAAACCTGATGCGGTGTGGGAAGTCCTCTTTCCCGTCCGGACTCCAGTCTGTCTCATCCCCGGCTTTTAAGGTTCCGCTGATCGCGAGGCCTAGCCCTTCATTCCTAAGCATGATTCTTTCAGGCTTTCTAAGGTGGTTGTGTTGGAGATAAACACAGGGCTGTGGTATCAGACAAAAGCTCAGTGTATTTATGTAGGTGATAACAGTAGCTTCCCCTTAGCTCATTTTCAAAAGTGGGCGGAGCGTTTCAAACATTTTAATGATGAAAACCTATCAGACAACAGCTTAAAGGCAGAATGAATGGTGAGACTTGGGTATTGCTCAAAGGGTAGCAGCTTTTTTTGAGGTGTGATTAATTCGTCCCCAATAAAAGGCCCTCACATTGACCACCCTCTTTTCAGATCCTCTTATAACTTGGATTGGCAGCTGGATAAGGCCAGGACTAAGCACATCTCACTCCTGGGATTCAGTCCTTTCATACTCATTCAGGCATATTCCTACCGTAATTTATCTAGAAGCTTGACACAGGTGGGCCACTAGTCATGATGAAGTATAGATCTATAGGCAAGTGATCCTTTAACTACAGTATGGGCCTCATTAGTGTCTCTCACTCAAACCATATTCAAAGGGGATCATATCCTTGAATCAGTTTTCTTTTCTATTTGTGGTGTAAATCTATCTATGCATTTAAGACAGGGATCCAAACTTGAGGGAAAGCAAGTTTATTAGCATCAGAGGGTCCCTTTGCCCCTACCCCATCCAAACATCCAGGTCTGGGGTCCTTGGTCAGTTAGTAGGTTCAACCAGGAGGCCACGTCAGCTGTCGGCCCCCAAGTACATGAATGTGCAGGTGATACACAGATTGTGCTCCCATCTTCCCATCATTGATCACTGAAATGGAGCTTCGGGTTAATAAGCTCATGGGAAAGGCCAAAGAATGAAGATCATATTGAGAAGTAGATATGAGAATTCATCAGTGAGGGGCTCAAGGGCCAAGCCACTCACCAAGTCGATATCCATCTCCTAGCCCTTCAGCTTTTGCTGTCTTCTTGGCCACAAGGAGAAGGTGTCCTAGAAGCTACAGGGAAAGGGGAGGGAGACAGGTGGCTTTATTTACAAGGAGCAAAACCTCTAGCTGAATCCAGGACTCCCCCCAGCCAAACTTTGGCCCTATTCGTCCCACCTGCTGGTCTTCTTCTTCAGCCTGGCTAATCCGAGGAATAGGCTTCTTGGGAATGACCAGGAAGTGCACAGGAGCCTGAGGGGCCACATCACGGAATACTAGACACTGGGAACAGCGACAGGCCAGAGGCCACTATGTTATTTTCACAGGCTGGATGGTATCTGTGAAATTCCTATGGGGATGGGTCCTAAGGGCACCCCACCTGCTGGTCCTCATATAGAATGTCAGCTGGGAGGCTTCGATCCAGGATCTTGGAGAAGATGGTTGGGGCTGTTCCCCCAGGAGCTGCCTGCTGGGCCTTGGCCACTTCATTCCCATCATTCACACCTGCAGCTCCTCGGACCTGAAGGTGGGTCAGGCACACCCGGAGGAGAAAGTTGGTAATACCTCTTTCATGTACTGGCAGAGTACATGGGCTTTGACAGTCATTAACTTCACCCTTCTAGTAATCTATGAGTAGTTCCCATCCAAAGGAAAAGTTCCTCAATTTCAGAGCATCAGCAGCGGAGAGCAGGGCCAGAGAGTGCTGAGCCTGGTTAGATAACAGGCAGTACCACAATGCAGGATTTAGGATTTCAGTTGATTTCTTCTTCTAAATTATCTAGGAAATCTAGCACTGTTCAGGGAAAGGATCCAGAGTGCGAACCTGGAAACTTAGTTCCCAGTTCCTATTTACCGGTGATTTACCTTAGATAAATCCTTTCTCTTGGCTGCAAATGTAAAATAAAGGAAGTGGTTTGCGTCATCTCAATACCACTTGGAGCCCTTTCCATATACTCTCACCTTGTCAATGTTTCTACTTATTTCTGTTACTTGTTTTCTCATCTTTAAGCCATGTTACCTATTTTATTCAGGTTTTAATACAATTGCTTTTTGACACCAAAAGGTGTCTGGGTGTCACATTTGACCTCTAATCTTTACTCCAGTCCCTTGAATCAGTGGAAGAGTCCACTTAAGTGAACTCAGCCCCGGGAGCCTGAGGGTAGGAAACTCCCAGTTTCCCAGGGCCTAAGAAAGGCTGAAGTTAGTGCTGTCTCACTGTGGGAGAAAAGGACAGGCTGAATCTGACCCCTCCAGTTGCTCTGGCAAAGTGGGGAAGATGGGAGGTTAACACTAGTACTCAAGCAGAAGGCCAGGGGCCTGAAGGGGGCCATAAGACTGGCTCCGATATGAGAAAGATCATGTTCTGCAGGGGATCCTGAGGGAGCTGCCTGGAGGAGGCGTTCGGTCTGGCAGGTGGAGGAAAAGGTGGCAGCCGCTGCATGGACCCTGTCCGGACCTCAGCGCCCAGGCCTGTGTAGGACGTCGGTCCGCGCCAGTTCGCTTTTCCTGCGTCCAGGCTTTCGGAGAGGTTGCCGCGACCACCTGTCCAACCTCACCGCGCAGCTCCGGAATTGCACCTTGCGCTCCGTCCCCGCGAGGCCGCTGGGCTGCGCGCATCTGAGGGAGCCGGGGAGGAACGCGGACCCAGGCCCTGGAGGGCGTCGGAGCCCGCAGGGTCCCCTCCTCGCCCCCGCGGCCGCTTCTCACCTGCACCCCCCGCGGTCCCGCGACCGCCACAACCCTGCGCACCACGCGCAGCCCGGCGGCCAGCGCCACGGCCGCCGCCATCTTCCCCTCGGCAGCGGGAACCGGTCACCTGGGACAGTACTCGGCGGCTGGCCCGAGGTCGGGGTGCCGGCGAGCGCGTGAGCGGCGGCCATTGGCTCCGCCTGTCGCGGGGGGAGGGAGTCCTGTCATCCCATTGGGTTGCGTTCCTGGCCCTGCCTGCCGCCCCTTAGCCCAGAGGCGGGGCGGAATCTTTACGTCCGATTGGCGACTTCTGCCAACTCGGCGATTTTTTTCACTCCATTGGCCTGTGTTCTCTTCAGCGTGAAAGTCCCCTTTCCATTGGATCTCTTAACTAGTTTTGCGCTAAGATAGTTTCTCACAACATTGAAAGGAAAAAGAATCCAAGAGGTGGGATTTCCACCTAATTGGCTCTCATACACACAGTGGGCAGAGTTAGGTTGCTGCGCTCCTACTCAGGTCTGGCCCCTACTGCTGGGCTCAGGTCTGGGAAGGAGAGGGTGGGCTCCTGTCACCTGCGTCTAGACCCTGTAAGATTGCAGGCCAGCGATTTTCCACCTTTTTATCTCGTGGCACGCATAAACTAATATACTCAAATTCTGCGGCACACCCAAACATATATTTTATTTTTGCCAATCTGACAAGAAAGTAGGTATAATTTTGATTTACTCACACCAGATGGCTACTGTTGCGTTGGCTCTTCTCATTTATTTGTCAATCTAAGAGAAAAGAAGTCAGCGTCCCTGACTAAACCGTCAGGCATTGAATGTTTTAATAATTCTTGTGGCACACCGGTTGATCTAGTGATGTGGCACATCACTGATCTAAGGTCAACTCCTCCTTAGTTTATATTCTTGCTTACATATTCACTCCAAGATTAAAGACCCTGTAGTTTTAAGGATGGTTTCTGCATTTTTCTTTCTAAGAGGCCAGGCTGGAGGTGTGTGAGCCCTATCTTGGCCACAGGACTAATAAGCATATGTTGTTTCCTAAGTAGAAAAGGTGGGTGTTATGGTTAATTCTGTGCCTGGTATTTTCAGTGAGTGGAGTTAGGACGACAAGGGAAATGTGTCATGGCTAGGTCTGAAGTATAAATCGTTCTGCTGAAATACATATTTTTGACATACAACACAAAGGGGTCACAAACCCTGGCTGGGTTGTCATCTCAATATGCCAAGGTTGAGGGTTCCAGTCAGAGCACATGCAAGAAGCAAGCAATGAAAGCATAAAGAAGCAGAATAACAAACAGATGTTTCTCTCTCTCTCAAATCAATCAATAAAAAGAATTAAAAAAATAAAAAGAAACACAGGGATTACAAAATGCTAATATACTCATACCAGGTAAGTTTTAGTCTGATGCTCACCACAGTATTTTTAGTTTAGTTTTTTTTTTGCACATGGCCTGACACATAATTATTTGTAGTGAATAACACTTGATGTTTCCTTTAATTTCATTTTATAGAATAATACATATGTATTGCAGATTTTATTCTTCCACTTACAATCAGTTTTTCATATTATTACATAGTCTGTGTAAATATATTTTATAAGGGCTTCATAATAGTTCTTTGAATGTGTTTATCATAGTAACCATTCCTTTATTGTTGACTATTAACTGAGTTAGTTTTCATGAATTGTCATCATAGTGCTAATTGCTTATAAGCAGTAATGAGGAGCTCTTTACTTCGGGAGATAGTAACAATCTCTTTCATATAACCATATTATTACAGTTAGAAGGTCCTTTCTTCTCCACGGGGCAGACATTTGACCATGTGATTTCCCACAAAAGGTCTAGGAGTCCAGGTTTCAAATCTCCCCTCAGAAAGATAGTCAGCCTCTCCAAATATGAGGAAACGTAGATGGGCCTTTTCTCAGTGCCCTAGAGGCTGCAGGTCTCAGTTGGCACCTACTAACCCCAAAAAGGAATATACCTGTATTTTGCTGTGTATAATGCACACCCACGTTTTTGCCCCAAACTTTTAGGAAAAAAAACTCTCATATTAATTTTTTAATCCAATTATTTATTTATATATTTAGAAACAAAACCAGTTATCTTATTCCAGGGTATTATTTTGCATACAAATATCATTATTGCTTTCTCGAGTTACACTTTTAATGCATAAGCATAAATAAAAGAATTAAACACACTTATATAGATATGGAATTAGCACTATCCATGTATAATGTGCATCCTCATTTTTCCCTCAAAAATTGGGGTAAAAAAAGTGTGCATTATACACAGCAAAATATGGTACCTGCTGAAGGGCTCCTTGTGATTAACTGGGCTCAAATTCATGAGAATCCAGCAGCCATTGCTGATAGGCTCCTCTGAAATGCACTCCACATTTCAGGGGAAAGCCACAGGCAGAACTGCCAGCTGAGTCTCTTACAAAGGAGTTCTTGGAATCATCTTTCAACCAATGGGCTGAGACCTACCCTGTCCAATTGGAACTGCACAGCTATATCCTTTATTTGCATCGTCACCGGCCAGTCAGAGCAACTCTATAATGACCAATCAGAATGAGCAATTCTGACCAATCAGGAGAATGATATTTGGACCAATCAGACTGTACCAATTTGGATTCCTCATTCGCATAAAAACGGACCAATCAGGGATGGGGCAGGTACTTTATAAATGTGGGCCTCCTCTATGTCTTGGCAGAGCACACTTTCCTTTTCCACTAGAGGCTGGGTCTTCCTGGTTTGCAAACTGTTTACCTTAATAAAAATTCTCCTTTTATTGCACCCCAGATGGGGAACTCCTGTTGACATTGGATTGGTGACATCAATCTTTTTTTGACAAGCTCCTGGGATACCAGCAGCCCCTAAAGCTACTCTAGAGAAGAGTAAGAGTTAGGAGAGCTGGGAACTGAGAAGAAAAAGGAAACCAGACAGGAGGGGTAGGCAAGTACAAAGCTCTTGGAAACTGGTTATTTCTTTGGGTTCTCATAAAAAGCAGGTAGCACAGAGATTATTCGTTTTAAGGATCCAGAAGCTGAGGCCCAGAAAGGGAAAGTGACTTTCCTAGGATCACAGAGCCCATTAATGTCAGAACCCACTACTTCCCATAAGAATCATCTATGGGCTTTCTAGTCACATTCCTTGACATTCACTGACTTTGGCTGTTGGCTCACAGCCGTCTTTAATCCAGGCCTTTGTGATCACTCACAGCTGCTCTTATCTGAAAGCTGCAACACTCTGTAGGTTTTGACTACTGCTTCCTGTACTTCAATCCCCACCTCTCCATCTGCTATTGGACCTCATTAGAGGCTTATATTCCTTTGTTCCTTTTTTCCAATATGCCAATTGCTTCCTGGCTTCACTTTCTTTCCCTGTTTGTATGGTCAGCTCCCTCCACATCTTCAATCCTTCTTTAGCCTCATTTTCCTGATTAGTATTATCCTCCCCTACACCCTCCCATCACAACCAATTAATCTAAATATTTTGCTTCTCTGCTTTTCTAACTAGATTCCTGCTTCCAACTGTATCTTAATCCTCAGCCACCCACTGACCATGTTTTTTCCAATTCCCCACATTAGCCTTCTGAAACCTTCACCTCTCTTTTCCTGTCTCCTACTCTCCACTCTTATCCTTCCTCCCTCCCCACCAGCGGCTGACCTTGTCTCCTGCTTCGTAGGGGAACTTTTACAAGATCCTGCTTCCTATCCTTTCTTTCTTCATCTTCGTCTTAGGATGTGCTGTTCCTGCTGTCCAAAGTGAATCCCTTCACCTCCGCCTTGACCTCAACCCCCTCCGCCCCCTCCCCTCCATCTCTGGGATCTTGTGTCACCAGGCATCTCTCTCTCTCTGTTGGGCATCCGTCCAGGTCTTTTTATCTACTGGCCTCTTTCCTTTTTCCTTCCTAAAATCTGCTCCCTCAACTCCACATTTTCCTCTGGATATTGTCTGACTTCTCTCCTCTTTTCATTCAAGTTTCTTAAAGAAACTCCTTCTGCCTCCACTGCACCACTGAAACTACACTCTCTGAAGTCCCCAAAGACCTTCTAATTACAAAATCCGATGGACACTTCTCAGTGTTTGCCTTACTGGAGAACGCAGCTGCATCTAACATCACTGCTCACTCTGTCCTTCTTGAAACCCCCTCCCTCCTTGGCTTCCTTGAAGCCACTCTCTCCTCTGATGCCAGGGCTAGCAGGTTAAATGACGGTGTGGTGAAGACAGATGGCCAGATCCAGCCTCTCTCCTGTGTGTTGCTCTCTTTTACCCCCAATAATTGCTGACCCTAAGGTCTTTGAATGTCTATTCCTAGGCTGGGCTCTAGCTGCCCCATACAGAGCCAGGTCAGGTTCCAGTGGCTTCCCCTTTATTGCTGATCTGGGCCAGGCTCACAGAGGCCTGTGCCAGGTGTTGACAGTGTCTGTCCCTGGAGGAGGGAAGAGCAGAGGTGGAAGGGTCAGTTATGGGGGTTAGATGTAGGGCCAGGTTGGAGGCTGTGTGGGCCAGGGAAACCAGGGGGCCTGGGGTGGGAGCTGGGATGGCCAGAGGGCCCCTGCTTCTGTAGGGCCTCGAAGTCAGAGTTGCTGATGATGGTTTCTTGGAGGGTAGGAATCTCTGCAAAAGGCACATAGTCTGCTCCTAGGGGTGGAAACCAATGCAGATATGGGATGCAGAGAGTGAGGGGGCGAGGTGGTCCTGGCTGGGATGGTCGAGGATGGGAGTGCCTTTCTGCCTGGCTTTCTGACTACAGACTCTGGAATGGCTCCCTGTCCCAGGTTGCCCCCTCCTCACCATGAGGCCTCCCTCTTCGTCGCCGGGTCTGCTCAGTCTCAAAGAAAGTCTGGTGTTCTTCCCAGCGCCGATCGCAGGCTGCACAGAGGAAATTAGACTCAAAGCAGTTGCAGCAACAGCCTAGGGCAAGGAGACAACCAAGAAAGCATAGGGAATTGGAACTTCCCCATGGAGTGACTACATTCTCATCTCTTCCTCACCAACCACAAACCCTAGTCTCTTCTACCAGCTCATGTATCCTTATCCTCAAGTTATGTGCATCCTATCCCCACCCATGCCCACCTCTGTGCTCCCCTTGTTTTCGAAGGTACCTTTCACCCTGCAGGGATGGGACCCAGTAGCTGCATGGTCTTCATGGCTGTGTTTGCAGCGACATTGGGCTCTCCAGGCCTTGGGGTCAAAGGTGGCTCGTCTCCTGAGCCAGAACTGACCCACCTCCTCTGGGCATGATGGGATAAAGCAGAACATGAGGCAGCGGCACTGGCTCGCATTGCAGGGCACAGATATGTCTGTCGGAGTGGGGATGGGTGGGAGGATTAGACCAGTACCTGGGAGGGCCTGGCCTTCCCATGCCAAACCCCTATCCCGTACTGACACACACACACTTTTTCTCATACATCCCAACGCAGGACAGGATACAGTTGTCCTTCCTCACTGCCAGGGGCTGAAGGGGATAGCTCAGTTCTCCCTACCTGATAAGATCTGGTGCTCTCTCAACAAGTGTCCACAAAAGCACTTGGACTCATCCCCAATCCGGAAACAGTCCCATAGATAATGGGGGCAACGCCAGCCAATGTAGAGACCTGGGTGTGGTGGGATTGAATAACAGGAAAAATGAGAAGGAAAAATAGCCTAAGCTCCTCAAGGTGTCCTCACTTATCCCCTGGCTGGCGGGGGGTGCCTCTCACCTTTCCCCCCAAGGTGTATTTATCTCCACCCATGAGTCCTCATCCCTACCCCTTTCGATTTTTTTCCTCAAGGTTTTCTCATCACTCCACTAGTGTCTCAGTTTCCTTCCCGCTCTAGGACCCACTCCATCTCTGCCAGCCTGGCAGAGATGACTGGAGACAGCCTTCAGTTTCTGAGCAGGAAGATTATAAATGAAATTTTGTTCAAAGATGAACATGAATCTCAATGAGTTCTCTGTGACTGTGGGGATTCTCATCTTTTCCCTTCCCTACCTTAGAGAGTCCCACTTTGCTTGGTTTCTTTGAAGTGTCTAAGGAGTGGGGGAAGGAGAAGTTAATTGGCCAGGACTGAGGTAGATGGTGGAGATTGGCTAAGAAGGAGCATGGTTCTTGAAAGGACCTGAAGAGGAAGAGATGGTTGGACAGGCTTGGAGCCAAAAGGAGGGTTTCCCTCAGTTCTTCAGGTCAGCACCTTCATATTTCCCTTAGGTGTTCCTGGTATTATTGAACTAATGCTCTCTATGACCTTGGGAAGGGTTTCCTAGGGCTCTCCAAGGGTCAGGAGAAAGAAATAGGCCAGAAATCAGGAAGGGTGAAGACCAAAAAAATATAAGCTTGTGAAGCATGGAAAGGAAGACGAGGCTAAGAAGTATCCCAGAACTCAGGCACCAGCAAGAGGCCCCTTTAGAACCTGCTTTTAGTAGTGGGATCTGAAAATGTCTGGCTTTACAGTCAGTGTCACCAGGAGACCAGGGTGGTGGTGCTGTGTAAATGTGGGAGGAGAACCAGAGAGCACCTGCCACTCAGATTTTCCCATCCTTCATGAGACCTGAGAGTGCCTCAACTTCTAGTCAAGAATCCCCATGTGGTAGGGCTCTTTTTCCAATGAAGAGTCACCTCCACCAAAACGTGTCACTGACTTCCTCTGTCTGGGGACCCTTCCCCTTGCCTTCTGTGGCTCCTTGTGCTACTCTTACCACAGTTAATGAACTGTTCACTTGTATTGCTATTAGACTGAGTTCCTCCAACGAAGGGTCTGTCTTTCTCTCTCTATCTCTAGTCCTAGCACAGGGCCTGGCACAAAATAGGTGCTCGGAGAACACAGGCTGCTTGACTGAGTAAGTGAATGAGCAAATTCCTTCAGGAAGGAAGGGAATCCCTTCAGTAGTCCAGACATAACCCTGAAGTTCCATTGAGGAGGATATGAAAGAGTTACATCCTCTGGTTTTTTACTGTGCCCAGAATCCACAATTCCGTGTCTAATTGTCAGATTAGGTTTTCTTGCATTACCCATGGTCTCTCAGGTCTAAAGTCTGTCCAGATGTGGCTTTTGGCTTTGCCGATTCTGTCTTGACGCTGACAGCCTGTAGTGCCAACACCCCATTATACCAGGGAGCCTTGGTTGAAAGGGCAGAGTATAGGTAGAGTCACAATGGGGGTGGGTGGGGACTAGCATTCTACTGGAGGAATTCTGAACTCCATCCAGAGTAGCAGGATAAACTGGATGAAAGGCGAGATGTGGAAGTGAACAGGGGTCGGTGTCCAGAGATCAAGGTCTAGCCTGAGATCCTGGGAGACTCAAGTCCAAGCACTGATGTAGGAGTCAGTGTCTGGCTTTCAGAAGAAGACTGACGTTTGAACAGGGAGACAGGCAAATCGCACCTCAGACTCTGTTACAGGTGTCAGTGCCCTTTAAGTGGGACAGTTGACATCTCGCTGTGTATTCCAGAATGGTGTCTTCTACTCTCTGCCCTGATTCCAAATCCTTTCCTGTTATGAATGGACAAGGACTGGCAGGGAGAAGACATTTTCCGGGATGCCATTTTGATTCTGTACAACACAGTCAACTCCATGATTGCATAATCACAATTGCATGTTAACATCTTTTTATGCTTAGAACATCTCCATACAAGATACATCTGTTTTTATATGATGGGTATCTCCAGCCCAGACCTCTTTCCTGAGCTTCAGACCAATAGAGCCAGCTGTCTACTAGGCTCTCTCACCAGTGCATGTTCCACAAGCACTTTAAATGTGTTATATCCAATTGTTGCTTCAAAACCTGGCCCTCATCCTTTGTCCTCTGTTCATCCAACACATGCTTAGCAAGCATCTGCTCTGTTTTAGACACTCAATAAATGGCACCATTATCCAATCAGTTACTTAAGCCAATACCTAGATGTCATTCCCGGCTTGTCCCTCCTTATCCTATACATCCAATGATCCAAAGGTCAGTTTTATCTTCTTAGCATTTCTTAGTTTGTCTACTTCTTTCCACCTCCACTCATTCATTTCTTACCTGGACTATTACCAGTGCCCTACAATGTAGTCTTCCTGTCTCCAGTTTTTGTCTTTCTCAAGACCGTCCTACTGCCAGAGTGATCTTACAAAAACACAAATCTGTTCATGTTATTTTTGCATTTAAAATCTTTTAGTGACTCTCAGTTGCCCTCAGGATATAATCCCAGCTCTTGAGTATGGCACAGAAATGACCATGCACTTCTGCCTTTCCAGAGATGAGCTGCACTACTCTGCCCTATACCCTACACAGTAGGCATTCTGTGTTGCTTACAGTTTCCTACTCGTGCCTCGCTCCGCCATAACTCAACATAGCCCATCTTTTACCTGGCCGCCTCTTCTTACTCATCTTAGAGATTTCAGCTGAGAAGTCATCCCTCCCAGGGCATATTCCCCCAGCTCCCACAATTGAGTGCCGGCCCCTTTTCTCTGTATATGCAGCACTCGGGGCTCAGCTCAATTATAACAATTATTAGAATGAGTTATTATTTTTCTTTTACTTTTACTATTGGTGTCTCTTATTAAAGTGTAAATTATTTGAGGTTTTTTTTTTTCTTGGAAACCCCATCAGTACCACCACCTCCATCCCTAGCACTGAGCCTGGCATATCGTTGGTGCTCAGCAAATGTTGAATGAATAAGAGAAAAGCTTACATTTGATATTTCTCTACAGAGCACCTTTATTGACTCTCCAGGGACGGAAGAGCCCCAGTTTTAGAAGATAACCCCAAATATCTTTGTTCAGGCTTAAATGACACTTAAATTTTAGTATAAAAATGCCTGTTTAAACAGGACAATGAAGAAGTCCAATCTCAAGAAATATAGTGGCATTGAAGAGTGGGGAGGGGACAAGAGGTTCTAAGAAGGAGAATGAGGGTACTGAGCAGACCCTACATTGGCAGGAAGAATAAAAGTCACTTAAGATGTTAAAATAACCAAATGAAGCAATTTCAATGACTGAAATAAGACTGAGAAACAAACGAAATCATTGTGACTTTCTTGTCCAGAAGAGTAGAGGCAAGGTCCCTGCATGGGAGTGAGGAAAGTGAGTGCCATGCAGGGGGATAAGGACACAGAATTACTTGGTTGACTTTACATCTTAGGCCCATCTAGTTTTGACATAACTCTTCTCCCATTATAAGGAGGAAGTATGAAAAACCAAAATAAATACAGTGCCATATATTGAATTCAGCCTAGAAACCCCAGAATCCTCATGGCAGGCCAAGGCGGCCCTCTTACTGAAGTAACACCTATAGATATAAAGTTCAGTTAAATAGGTACACATGTTCACACATACGATGGCACGTGTTTATACAGTACACCTGCTAACCCTTTATATACAGGTATGGGTAAGCCACCAATAGGACTGCCAGGACTATTACCAGTGCCCTACAATGTAGTCTTCCTGTCTCCAGTTTTTGTCTTTCTCAAGACCGTCCTACTGCCAGAGTGATCTTACAAAAACACAAATCTGGTACTAATTTTGGGCTGAGAGTTGGAACCAAGAGGGCTAGAAGACACGACTCTGCTCTTCGGTGGAGACTCACAGCTTTTGGGCACCCAAGTGATCATGTGTCTCATATTCAGGGGTGACTGCCTCTTAATGGAGTTCCACCAAGGGGCCCAAGGCCTTTGGCCATGTAAGAGCAACAAGTCACGTGGAGACTGTCCAGGTCCTCTGCCTTAGGGACTGTTTGGTGCAGGCAATCTGAGCCCTAGATGTGGGGCTGGCCTGTGTTTTTTTAACAACTTCAGTTCAGTCACCAGTCCCTAGCTGGGCTTTATACGAATATCCCCACTTTTCATCTGCAACTATGCCATCCACCTTGGGCGGCCTGCCTGCTTCCCTCCCAGATTTTAGCAGGTGGCATTGCCTTTTCCACAAGGGGCTCTCCGTTGAATGGACAAGTACCCAGAAACTGATGGATTAGAGGATGGCCCTGTCAGAAGCCCCTGAAAGGCTTCCTGGGCTCACCTGTCTGGATGGCACTCAGGGCTGCATTCTTCTCCCACTGGAACAGATTATTCACCTGTGCACCAAACTTCTCTCTGAGCACCGCATTAGGCACTTTCACCAGCTCTGCCTGCTGAGCAGGGACCACTGGGCTGACTGTGCAACCTGGGGAGAGAGGGGCTGAGTAATCAAGGAGAAGTGAAGAGGCCCTAAAGCGAAGAGAAGAGACAGGTCAAAGAGTAACCCAGTCCCCTCCTCCTGGGGCAGGTGAGAGACAGTGATGAGAACGGGGGAAGGGGCAGGAGCATTTACGGCCAACTCCTTTCTTCTCCTTCTTCTTGCCCAGATGGTGTCCAGGCTGAGCTGTGTGAATGGCGCTGTCAGTGGCATCCACCTCATCCTTGTCCTCTCCTTCTTCTTCCCTTTCATTTGCAGATGTGCCCAGCGGGACCTGGGCTGATGGGTCCAAAAGGGAGTGCTTTTGAAGGCACTCAGATTCGGGGATCTGAATGGATTTTCTTGTCCAGGAGGCCTCTCTGGAGGAAGACTCAGAGAGGAGGCCTTCCTTCAGAGCACCAGAGGAAGACCTAGAGGCATGGCCTGGTGAGGAAATATGAGAAGTAAGGTGTTTCTCTGGGACCTTAGAGATGTGGATCTCCAACGGGCTGTCAGGGATAGAGTGTTCTAAAGAGGCCTTGGAGATGGAGGGCTCCAAGGGGGTTTCATAGGCATGGGGCTCTAAAGGGTTCTGGGAAGTGGATGGCATCACATGAGCGTCAGGGCTGTGGGGCCCTACAGGAGTCTCAGAGGTGGAAGGCTCCAAGGGGGTTTCATAGGCATGGGTCTCTAAAGGGTTCTGGGAAGTGGATGGCATCACATGAGCGTCAGGGCTGTGGGGCCCTACAGGAGTCTCAGAGGTGGAAGGCTCTAAGGGGGTTTCATAGGCATGGGTCTCTAAAGGGTTCTGGGAAGTGGATGGCATCACATGAGAGTCAGGGCTGTGGGGCCCTACAGGAGTCTCAGAGGTGGAAGACTCCAAGGGGGTTTCATAGGCATGGGTCTCTGAAGGGTTCTGGGAAGTGGATGGCTCCAAAGGAGTTTCAAGGGTAAGTGATTCTAAAGGGGTCTCAGAGATGGAAGGCTTCAAGGGGGCTTCAGGGATAGGGGGCTCCTGTGAGTCCTCCCGGGAGGAGTCCTTTGAAGAAGGGTGTTCCTCTGCATCCATGGTGATATGAGACTCTTCTGTAACCTCGTCTGCTTCCACCTAGTGGTAGAATACGGTACAGGCTTTAGGTTGGGATAGGAGGGTCTATAAATCAGGTTTCACAGGCAGGTGGGGAATTAGGATAAGGTCCCCAGTGCACCTGAGACATAAGGGGGAAACAAGCTGAGTTCTGTGATAGGGTATGGTGCCAGGAGGTTCATGGATGTGCCTAGACTTCATGTGGCATCCTGCTATGGGTTGTGAGGAAGCTGGAACTTAAAGAATGAAAGGCTGAAGCAGTCAGAATCCCATCAGTAGATGGTAGCAGAGGACCATGCCCCAGGAGGGAGCCTAAACATAGCAACTTGGCCAGTCCAAGAGCAGGGTCCTAGGCATATCTTAGAACCATGGGGGTCAAGCTGAGGAATTCTAGTGACTGGGAATACCGAGCCAAAGTGGGGGATTTGTTCCCAAGAGTGCAGAAGGGTGCCATGATGGCATTGCCCTGATCACAGTCTAGTTTTGTCTAGGGACCACATACACCTTGATGATGTCATTCATGTTCAAGGCTTCAGCTCCTTCCAGCTGGGTGCTGATGACCCCTAAATCCATAATTCCATCTCAGACTTCTTTAAACCTCTGTACTTCACTACTCATACCCACCCGCCTGCTGAAGGTGGCTAAATGGATGTCCTACTGGGTATCAGCACGGACACTGGGAGTTATCCTAGTTTTCTTTTTTCCCTCAGCCCTTATCTTCAAATAGGGACCAAGGACTGTGTTTCCTATTTCTAAATATCGCCTAAATCCAATTGCTTCTCTCCTTTCCCTCCAATTTTGTTCAAGTTCCCACCATTTTCTACCTGGATTATGTATAATAACTTGTCCCTCTGCTGCCTTCTCCAGCATATTAATCCACTCACCTATTCTTTCATTGATTTATGTAATTTACACTTTTATAAAGGGCCTAATCTTACACCTTTACTGAGACACTGTGCTAAGCACTAGACTCAGCTGAAAGGATCTGGGAAAGAGACAGGTTAACCAACATGACAGCGCAGATACGCTGGATGGGGTAAGTCCAGGATGCTGTAGAGAGTGGGGTCTACCTAATTTATCTTGAAAGTATGTCCAGAAGAAGTGAGTCCTCCTTAATGACCCAATCATAATCTTTCTAAAATGCAAATCTAACAATGGCATTCCCTTGCTTAAAAATACTCTTCGACTCAGTCTAAGGATTAAGGTCATTTTTTTTTTTTTTTTGGCCCTGATATTCAAGACCTGTCATCATTTGCAACAGTGGCTAAGGATTCCAGCCTTAACTTTCCCTACACCCTTCTTGCCTCCGCCATGCTCCAGAGATACTAAATACATCGCTTCAACTCATCAGAACCTTTCCAAAGGGTTAGTTTGGGACAGGAAGTAGGGGGAGAGGTAGGATAATGGGGAGGAAGATCTTTGGCAAGAGAAAAAAGGGATGGAGTGGAGAGTGGAGGATTAGAGGAGAGGAGGAGAGGAGGGGGGGGAAGAACGGGAGGGTACCGATGAAAACTAGAGTATGGGGGGCGGGGCTTTGGACTGGGGGAAGAGGCTGAAGGTGTTAGTAGGGAAATGGGATGCAGGCTTGGAGGAGGGGCCATCGGAGACCACATACCTCTGGGCTTTGGCTTGGTTTTACAAGTTCTTAAGTCAGAATCTTGTCTGAAGCTGAGACTGGGAAGTGTTAGCCCCGAGAGAGGGAAGGCTCTTGGTTGCGAGTGAAACCCGGGTGCAGGGCGCTTTGTGGTGACAGGCCTTGCCGGCAAGCCTAAGACTTGGCGAGGAGACTGGGTCACCTGCGGAAATTCGCAAAGGAGCTCTAGCCAGATTTAGGGGAGGGTGGGAGGGGGAGGGACGAGGGGGTCCAGGCCGATGCAGGGACTTGACTGAAGTCTCTGGAACTCTGGCCGGAAGAGAAAGGATCCGTCACCAGGGCAACCGGAACGCCTAGCAGTCTCAGTGTCAACATCAGTCCGGTCACCTCCCGGGTGGGTGAGGTCTCCTGAGGGGGCTGCATAGGACCTGGAGCGGACGAACCTGAAAGGTTCACTTTTAAAGGGGTTTGCGGGATCTCTTTGAGAGTCTCTAGGTAGGCTTTGCCGAAATCTGTGGGGACGTCCGTGGGTGTCTGGGTTTGTGAGGGTGTCTGTAGGGTTCCCATAAAATGTCTGTGGGACTGCCACTGGGGCCTGTGAGGACTTGAGGGGGACTTCGGGACTCGGTCGTTGGGATGGGAAAGGCTGGGGTTCAGGTATCTGGGGCTGGGCGGAGCCTGTCCGAGCCCAGCAGGGACCAATCGGGCCGACCGAGGGGCGGGGCGCCATGTGACGTCAGGCCCAGGCCACCGCCGCCGCGGGGCCTGGTTATCGCCGGCTCAGCGCAGCCCGGAGTCGCCCAGGCCTGAACTCCTACCCAGGTCCCTCGCTAGGCCTCAGCCGGCCCGACCCCGGCCCGGGGCCCGCGAGGACGCCGGAGGCCACCCCCCGGGGGTGGGGAGCGGAGCCGCGGGTCAGCTCTGCGAGCGCCCCGCGCTGGCCTGTCCGGCCCCGCCCCCGCCCCCGCCCCGGGCCATGGCCCAGCCCTTGTCCCGGCCCCTCGTCCTATTATCCCGATCCGGGCCTTGGCCCCCGGCCCTTCCCTCACCCTGCTTTCCAAATCGGTCCCAGTCCCGGCCTGAGTACCAGCGAATGCCCACATCCAGGTCCCAGCCCAGGCCCCCCGTCCATCCCCGAACCCAGACCCTGTCCTGGCCTCCACCCCCGCCTCTGCCCTGGTTACACCCCCTGTCACAAATCCCAGCTCAGCTCCAGTCCCGAGACCAACCCCAGTGTTTGCTTAACCCCCCGACCCAAACCCTGCCTTTGCACCAGCCCCCATCACAGCCTCTCCTTGCATCCCATCCCCTGTCCTCGTTGAAACCCCTGTGCCCAGCCCAGCCCCACCCGTTATCTCAGCCTTTGCCCTCATCTCCGTGTTTACCCAAGTCTCTCCCACTACCCACCCCTCTCTCTCACACCCTGCCCCTCTCCCAGCCTCGACTCAGGTCTGGGCTTCGGCTGCCGCCAGCCCTGTTGCTGCTGCTGCTGTTTTCTGTCCTTGGCCCAGGGGCTGGTGAGTGTAGAAGCAGCAAAGCTGAGGCAGGGATGGGGTTCTGGTAGGGAGGGGTGGGCTGGAGGGATTGGGTAGAGGTGGGACCTTGGTAACCAAATCATGGGGGAGGAAGTAGGGAAAAGTCGGGAGGAAAGAGTTCTTACACATCTGGGAGGAATTGGGAGGGCCAGGAGAGAGGTAACTGTGGGCTTGAGGGCAGCAGGTGGCTAGTAGCACCTAGGGGAGAGACTCCAAGGTGTTCTTTCCTGGTGTCCATTCTGACCTCATTTTGACTCTTGCTTTTTCAAGGAAGTCTTTGCGCCTGCTCGTATAGTTTGATGGGAGAGACATAGTCCCCCACCTGACAGCCTCTGGGTCTGGAAAGAGCTAGCCTAAACTTTTGAGATACTGGACATGCATTAAAATGGGTTTATGAAAGCAGTTTTGAAAAGAACATGTAGCAAACAGATGGACATGGGCCATTATAATGAGTTTTCTTCTTGTAATGAGTTTTGTTCCAAATAAGCTTGATTTGCCTAGGAATTATGCCTGACACTTTTAGAGCAGGGTTGAAACTCAAGAGGCCATTTTACAGATGGGGAAACTGAGGCTGAGCAGGGGAGCAATTTGCTCAAGGTCATGCAGCTTATAAATGGCAGTACTGGAGCTATAAAAAAGTTTCCTAATTTCTATCCCACACTAATGGCTTTTTCACTGCAATATGTGCCTACTAAATAGGAAAATAAACCCAAGTGGGAAAAGGTCCAAAGCACAACCTGTCCTCTCCCTGGTCTGCCCACAAGGGGGCTTCATCCACAGACTGTTCCTCATTTACCACCTGTCAGCCCAGGGCCACGGTCCAGCAAGGAAGTGACTTGGACAGGAGGGGGAGAGGTCCAACTTCTTAATGGGAGGAATGTGGGAGGAGGAGAGGGGGTCCTTCCCATAGATGTACCATAAAGACGGCCCCATCCTAAGGAGATGACTGCGGTCTTGCATGGCCCCAACCCTCAGCCACCTCTAGTGGGTGGCACTTTAGATAGGATAGAGATGTGCCTGAGGGAAGTCTTTGGAAATAACAGCAAAGTAGCTGGGGATGGGGGCTGGGTTTCAGGGAGCCCTGGGGACTTGGTTCAGTATACAAGCTTGAGGAGATCAATGCATGTCAAAGGTCACCACTCCTGCAGAGATGTCCAGTCTCACTGGTACCTGGACGCTTACATGTCTGAATGTATACCTGGGGGATCTGTGGCAATGCTGGGCATATTCAGCATGTACATGGATGTGCGTTGGTGAGTGTAGGCGCATGTATGTTGTGTGGGGTGCGCGTGAGCCTATGTGTTCTCTGAGTAACCTATATATTGTACAAGGGGGAGGGTACATGTTGTGGCCCACACATGTTCTCTTCAGCACTTCCTGCTCCTGGAGACAGAGCACTGAACTGTTACCTTCCCAGTGCATAGTTCCTTATTTGGAGGCAGTGTTGGATGCCTCTCATAACATGTATAAGTAATCTATTTGCCCCCCAGCCTGACTCCTTGAAGGAAGGAGCCATAGAAGGACTCAGTGTTGATTACTGCTTCTGGGAAATTGGGCACTTAGCAGATGTAGTAGCAGGTCATTTTTTCACTTTGAGTCAGAGGGTGTCTATACTGTTGGGCCCAATTCATGGCTCCCATTTTTGCCGTAATGGCTTCTTTGTTTATGAGCGCATTGAGCAGGCATGAGCTGGCTAGGGGAGGAAGGTAACTGACAGCCACAGAGCTGTAGGAAGCTGAAAGATGTGGATTAAAACACGACTGGCCAGAAGCAGGTTTAGGTGGTTTGGGGAGAACTGTAATGAAGTTAGAACAGAGTGCTGAATAGGCCCTTCTGCATGCAGGGCTACCCTTAGCGCTGCTAAGAGTCACTGCGTCGGTAACTGTGGCCTGGCCTGCAGGAGTGCTCTGTGGCCGGCGGGGGCTGAGAGATTTTTTACTGAGGAGAGGATCACAGTTGGTCTCAATAAATGCTTACCGTTGGCTTCAGTCTTTTTTCAGGAATGGAAGGTATCTCCTGGGTCTCCTGGTCCTACCTCAGTCCTTGGGTCTTTTCCTTGGGCTCAGCTGACTGCATTTGCATAACCCAGTCATGCCTGCCATTCCAAAGTGACCTTTTGTTCTACCTAGTGCTGTCATTAGCAGGGTCAGCCTTAGCCTCTGTGGGTGTGTGTATATGTATGTGTATGATTTTTAGGTGGTGGTGGAAAATCACCCAAGCTTCATCTGGAAGGAAGTACTGGAGCATCCAGGATAGGTTCACCTGCGCTTGCACAGGGCCTTGCTCATGCTTCCTCTAGGACATGGCTCTGTTGGCCCTGGTGATACCCCAAACCAAAGCTTGGCGTGAATGAGGCTGCGGATGCTTTCTCAAGTGTTTGTCTGCAGAACTTCTAGGTTCCTCCACCCACCAGTTGCTGCTCATTCCCTTTTCCTCCCAGCCTGCCCCGGGACCTCTGTAGCCTCTGGCCACTTCTGGAGTGGCTCAACTAGTTTCCCATTCTCCGGCCGGCCGTGCCTTGTTCCTTTGAGTTACTGGGCTCTGTGTGCTTGTCTGTCCATTGTTTCACGCGAGCAGCTCTCTGAGAGTCTGCTCTGGGGGCCTGGCCGAGATTTCTTCCTAACAGTAGCACTGGCTCATTCCATGACACATCCTGGTACTGGCTTTGGGGAGGAGAAGCACCCCACACCCCAACCCCAGCTCCAGAGCTCTGCTTTTTCATACCAGTGGTATCTATGCTATTCAGCTCTTGGCTTTCTGTCTTCTGTTGTCATAGCCAGGGCTCCTAGGAAACCTGTCTTCCCCACCCGTTGGTTCATTTCCCTTCATTCCTCTTGGATACATTGCCACTTGCTCTCTGAATGCTGCTCTGTGAGCCTCTGGTTCCTGGGCAGTGCTCAGCTTGCAAGGTGGCAGGTCTTCCTTGCTGACAGTTGAGACTGATCATGTGGTCTGCACTGGACACAGACTAGCCCTTGGGTGTAACCATGGCCTTTGAAGATGAACTCAGGCCAACCTGGGGCCAGCGGCCCCCACCTCTCTGCAGGGCGACTCTTGAGGTTGCTTCAGTTCAGTGGGGCCGGCCCTAACGCGAGTTGCCTCCCTCAGCAGCCTCCCTTTCCCAGATGCCTCTTTCTCTGTTATTTCAAATACCTCATTTTTGGAGTTGTATCTCCCATTTCCAGAGAGGGAGATTGTAAGACTAGTTAAGCCCTGTGGGTCTTTCCAACTTGGCTGAAAACTCTGTTTCATAGTCTTCCCTATCCATACCTCCACCCCCCAAGCTGCTGATTTCCTAACCTTCTCACCTGTCCTGAGGGTAGCTTCTGGGTTCTCTGGGACTGGTCTTAAGTCTCCAGAGCAGTCAGCTTCCCCAGAACGTTGCCTGCCATTTGGGACTCTCTTCTATCCAGCCGAGCTACTGGGTTGTTTTTGCTCTTACAGCAGTCCTAGCCCCCTTGGGTTTGCCTGGCCAGCTGCTGACATCGGACTTTCCTGTTCACCTTGGCTCTGCTCCTAATAGCCATGATCAGGTACCTTGGCATTTCACTTGGAGATGAACCCTCTCCCTCCCCCCTGCTCTGAATGTGAATATTCCCAAGTGGTTTGAGATTCCACCGAGTCCCCAGTTGACTCCCTCCCTGGGCCTCCCTCTGGGAAGCGCCCTCTGGCTGCTCATTCTGCATCCTAGAGGGCCTGGTGACTCTCCTTTCCTCCTTGCCCAGGGGCCTTTGTGGTGGCCTGCCAGCTCCTGTCCTTGCCTCTGCCACCCAAGAAGGCCCCTTGCAGACTCACCACACTTTCCCCTCCCCACTCCTGCCCTGAGCCAGTGTACAGACACCTTTTGTGAAGCTTCTGAGGGTTTTTAACTTCTCCTGACCACAGGGGAACAGAAAGGGGAAGAAAACAAACAAGGAGGTTACACAGTTCCATGCTGACTCCCAAGCCCCACAGGTGGAGTTCCAGGCTGCGCAGTGGCCGGGGCGCCAGCCCACACACTCCAACGCTGGCTGTCCGCGCCTCTGTTGCGTTAGGCTTGGTAAGAGGAGAACAATGACTCCTAAGTGAGGGGTAGCTGTGGGTCATTTAAAGGGTCCAGGTCTTGGATTTATGCAGATCTAATTTTAAGCCTCAGTTTCCTTATCTATAAAAACAGGTCATTTTTTTCAAGGTCATAGTAAGGATTAAAGCAGATGACGGCTAGGGCAGCAGGAGGCCCAGTTCCTGGCTCAGAGGAGAGCATTCGTTGAGTTGGTGCTGTTGGTGAGGAAGACTGGTGTGCCTGCTGCTTAACGGACGTGCCCTCTGTCCCTCCTGCTCCTTTCTTTTCACCTGCTCCCCAGGAGGCCTCTTCCTGACCGATTACTCCACCTGCTCGCCCCGCAAGCTGAGTCCTTTCCGCTCCTTTGCCAGCACCGAACTCTTCCACTTCCACGTGCCTGAAGACACATTCCTGGCTGTGTGGAACCTCATCATCTTCAAGGAGCAGGGGGGATCCTTTGGGGACCACTGCCCCGACCAAAGTGTGACTGTGTGAGTGTACGAGTTAACCTCTGGACCCCCACTTCTAACCCCGGACCACTTTCCAAACCAAAGTATGACTTTTTGAGTATCTAAACTGACCTCCTGACCCTGACCCCTGACCCTTGTTGAGATTGAAGTATGACTGAGTGAGGGCCAAGACCTCTGATCCCTGATCACTTCCTTACTCCTGTTTGTGTGAGTATCTGAGCTGACCTCTTACCCGCTCTGTGCTGACCCCGGATCTGGAACCACTGTGCTGTATGTGTCAGTATAGGGAATCTACTTGCTTGCTGGTGGTGAGTGACAGTTCTCCTTCCTTTTCCCCATTTCCCATCTCCCACCTCATTGCCTGCTTTCCTCCTCTCCTCATTCTGGTCCCCAGGTATTTCCGGTCCGGGGCACCCCCTGTCATCAATCCCCTGCACACACACTTCCCAGGGGACACGGCTGTGCCTGGGGTTTTCTCACTGACCCTCAGCTGGACACTGCCCAACCGCACCTCAGGCATCTTTAACGTCAGCAGCCCCTTACCTGGGGACTGGTTCTTGGCTGCCCACCTTCCCCAGGCCCACGGCCACATCTCCGTCAAGGTGGGTTGATACTGTCTAGGGCACGAGGGGCCAGAGCTGCTTCCCCATCTCTGCTGAATCCCCTCCCCGACGGGTTACCTGGAACACCAGCCTTGTACCAGGATGGGCAACAGCATGAGGGTGGCTGGGGTGGAACGTAGCCAGAAGCCAGCAGGTCACATGGTGGGCCATAGCCCGAGATCTGTATGAGACAATCCGGGAGCCTTAGGAGGACGTGGTGGGTCCACATAAGCTAAAGGGAAAGCCCAGAGTCTGCAGCTGGCCAGAGGCCCCAGCATCGCAGAGTAGTGTCCCTTCCTGATGGAAAGTGCAAGGGTTGACCGAGGTGATCAGAAGCCAGCTAGGGACAAGCCATGTGCTGCTGCACAGACCCAGGATAGCCCTGCAGACTCTTGTAAGCTCCAGCCCAGTTGTTAGTCCATCTGGGAGAACGCGTCCCTCTGCTGGCATGATTTTGGCTCCCTGCACCCCGCTGAAGACCATACGAGAACACTCTGGGGCAAGGTAACTCTTTCCTGTTAAAAGGAGGCTTTGGGTAGCTCGTGTCCATCCTGACTGTTGCCTCCCTTTCCTCCAAATATCTGCACTGATTTCATAGAGCAGAGGTTGTTAAAATCTGAAGTGTAGGTTCAAATGTCATACTGCTTTTTCATTCTGGTCAGGAGGGGAAGGGAACGCCACAAAGTTTTGCTGCCACTCCCGCGTGTTGAGCAGACTTCCTACTTGTAGTGAGAGGATCTATAATTTTCTTACTCCTGTCTGTTGGTGGGAAGGGAGGGGGAAATAAGCTGGTCATTGTCAAGAGCGAGATGGCCAAGTGTGTGGGGGCCAGTGGTAAGGACTGAGCATGAGCAGAGCAAGGATTGAAAGACCAGGAGGCTGAAGAACACGAAAGTTCTCAGGGTTTGGCCATTGAGAATTGAGGGGGAAAGGAATTCCCAATCAGGGGAAGATTTGATTTGGCCATATGGCTCCAGGCTGAGTTCCTTGAGGGCAGAGGCTCTGTGACTGTGTGAGACTCACCTCTCTTCCTCCTACTGGAGCTGAAGGAGCCGAGAAGCCTACAGGGACCAGTGTACTGGCACTGCTGGTTCCAGAATGGGAAATAGGGCTGAGGTAGTGTCTGGAGGCCTCAGTGAGAGGCCTCTTTTCCTGAGAGTGATGCATAAGGGAACTTTCTGTCAAGGTCTGGGAGTCCTCTGGTTGAGGGCATGTTGGGAGCTCACCTGGAAATGGCTCTGAGTTCTAGGCAGGTCTTGATTCCTTTAGAACTAAGTAAGGATTGTTTTTTTAAAAGCAGAGTTTATGTATTTATTTTTAGGGAGAGGGGAAAGGAGGGAGAAAGGGAGAGAAACATCAATATGTGGTTGCCTCCTCGTGCGCCCCCAACTAGAGGACCCGGCCTGCGACCCAGGCATGTGCCCTGACTGAGAATCGAACCAGCAAACCTTTGGTTCACAGGCCAGCACTCAATCCACTGAGTCACACCAGCCAGCGCTGGATTATTCTGTTTGGAGGAATGTCTTAGGTCTTTGGCCAAATTCCAAAGAGCCTGTTCCTGATGCTAACGCTGATCCTGGACTGTCTTTGTGAGGACTGACAGGGAAAATCCTTCTGAAGTCCTCTCGCAGTTACCCCAAAATTTTTCTGGGTGATCAGGAGGAACTGGGGGGCCTACGCCCGACTGGTATTATGGGAGCTGAAGCCTGGTTAGGAGAAGTCAGAACCAGGTTTGGCTGACATATCTATTTGCACCTGTAACAAGTGGGGCCTGGGAGACTTGGTACTGCAAGCGGGAGTCCTAGTCAGCAGCGCTCCCTGGGGTGTGGCGAGATTAGAGAGTAGAGGGCACAGTTACACCTTGCACATGAATGGCAGTGGACCTGGACACCATGAGAGATGTAGCTTTTCAGTCAGGCCTGTTCCAGAAGCTCAGAGGCTGGGAATGGGGTGAGGTGGGGATAGGGAAGGAAAGATCATCTTTGTGGTCCCTCTGAGAATTTGATTACCTTTAGGAATCTTAAATGGGCCTCTAAGGATTCTGAAGTTCTCTGGTTAATTCCTTAGACTGAAGCCTGTGAGTGATTGTCTAGAACATTCCTCCAGGGCTCCATCTTCTCAAGTTGTTTCCTCCTTAGTCCAGGTCTTGACTTCCTGTGAGGCTTGGCCAACACGGGAAGTAATGTGCATTCAAGGATACCCTTGGGTGGGAACTGAAGAGTCCTGGCAATAAGCAGGCCGTGCTGTTTCTAGGGCCCTCCTTAGCTTTGGGGGTAAGTTCAGACCTCCCTTTAGACCTTAGTCCTTGAGCACCAGCTTTGTCCCAGGTCTTGGGTTGGGTGCTTGAGACACAGATAAATAAGATATATGTTAGGAGATGTTTTAAGAGGACAAAAGAGACATGGCCATTTCAGCTTGGTAGTGTGGTGGAAGGGGTCTTAGGAAACTGTTAGAAAGTGGCGCCTGACGTGGAGAAGGCAAGGAAAGGCATTCTAGGTGGTGGGGTAACATGCGCTAAAGCCAGAGAACTGGAGTGGTTCCGTGTGGAGCAGTTGTTGGGAGGGGAAAGGGAGGTGGAGAGGTGAGCAGAGGCCAGATCACAAAGGGTCTAGAAGTTGGAACATTATCCTGAGAGTGATAGGGAGACTTAAGAGGATGTAAAAGGGAAGTGACTTATTTGGCCCAGGCCTCTGTCCGGAGCTCGTGTCCCACACTTCTGCTGGCCCCGGTGTCTGTGTTGTTCACCTCTGTATTCCCAGCATCCAGCACAGAGCCTGGCACAGAGTGGGGGCCTGGTGAGTTTTTGTTGCTCTTCTGCCATCTTCTCAAACTCATATTGTCCAGGACTGACCTTACTTCTCCTCCTTTCCTTTTCCCTTCTTCTTCCTATTAACCTCTTCCATCTTGACCCATGCCTTCCATCTCCGTGCTTTCCTGTGTTGGAACATGGGTTCATCTGGCGGTGCCCAGCTGCCAGTCTGCTCTGAGGGGTGGCCTTTGGGCTGTGGGTAATGCCTGGTACCCACAGGGGAAGTGGCTCATCAGGGGAAAGTTCTGCAAATGTCTGGGACACAGTTCTCTTTGAATGTTTCCTTTCCCCAATCCAAGATTTCGAAGTAAATGAAAGCAGGTAAGATAATAACAACAACCATAACAAAATCAAAGAAGCAGATTGTATAGAAGAAAGGATTTGGTTGAGTCCACCAACTAGGACGAAGTGTGACTCAGTATCTCAACTGAAGAGGTTAAAATCTGCTAACGGTGCTCATTCTGTTCTTCCTCCTCCTCCTAAATTATTTTATTTGTGTTCTGATTAGGTAATATATGCATCTGGTAACAACATTCAAAAGGTACAAAAGGCAGTGAAAAGTAAGTCTTCCTCTTCCCTTTGCCTCTTTCCAGTCCCCACTTCCCCTCTCCAGAGTTAACTAGTAACTAGCTGTTAATAAATCCCTTATATTACTCCTCTCTTCTTGAAAGACTCTCCTCTTGGCCCTTGCAACTCTACAGAACTGTCCTGGTTTTCCTCCTGCCCACCACCCACTCTTCCTCTGCCTCCTTTCCTGGCATCTCCTTTGTCTTGATCAAACATGTTGCAGGGCCCCAGTGCTTGGTCCTGGGACGACACCTTTCTTAATTCTCCATTTTCTTGCTAGGTGTCTCCAGCACAGTAGTTTTAAGTACCACTTGCAAGGTAATGCCTTCCAAGTGTATTCAGTGAGTCCTAATTTCTTTGAGTCTCAGACTTTATAATCAACTGCTTACTTGACATCAGCAATTAGATGTCTAAGAAATGTCTCAAACTTAGCTTGTACAAATCAAAACACAGCCAAATGTAAAAATCTCTTCATTCCCATTTCACTTCTTCCAGTCCAAGTCTTTTTGTCCTCTAGTCATCATCTTCTCAGTAAATGGTACCGCTGTTCACCAATTGCTCAAGTAACAAATGTAGGGTGTTATACTTGATTCTCCCTTCCCCCTTATTTCTCTACAACCAATTCATAAAGAAAAGTCCTGTTGACTCTACTTCCAAAGCATGCCCCGAATGCATCTACTTCTCTCTATTTCCACTCTTAGCACACCTACCCTCTGCTTTCTCCTGGGCCACTACACTAACCTTTTAAGTGGTTTCCCTGCTTCCACTTTTGCCCCCTGTAGTCTGTCTGACATTCATCTGCTCCCATGTTGACTGCTTCTGATTGATGGTGGGCCAGGGGCTGTAGTGGGTATGGGGATATTCTGGTGGAGAAGGCCAAGTGCTTTCGGGCGTCTTCAGTCTGCAAGCCCCATCCAGAGCCTGGGACTGGCTACTCTGCTCAGGCCTTTCTAAAGAACCCCAGCCCACCTGTACTAGGACAGTCTAGGAATCAGTCTAAGGCCTTCTGTTCCAGCTTCTTTCAGACTGTTTCACATACCACATCTCACTTTTGGCCCTTGTGGTTTCTCCAGTTTCCTGGCTTGGACCCTGTTCCTCCCATGGCTGCTGATGCTGACTCCCTTGCACTCTCACTTGGCTTCTGCCTTGGCAGTTTCCCGAGGACTTGGGTTCCGGTGTCACCTCTCTAGCCCCATCGCAGGACGAAGGTTGCTTCATCTCTGCACCTTCCCTGGTCTCCACTGATTGAATGAACGCTCCCATCTGCAGTGAGGGAGGAGTACTGATGTGCATCTTGTACAGTTTAAGGAAGGAGCACACCTTAACCATTGAGGTCATGTCCACCGATCCTTCATTGAAGCCATTAGCAAGCAAAATGTGGAGCAAAGTTTTTCTTCCCCCAGACTGTCAACAAGGAAACAGGCCACTGCCTGCGCATGGGCCCCCACCCTTGGGGATCATTCACAACAAGATTACTGTGGGTGATTCCTGTCATAGGAAGCAAGGTTGATGAAATTACTTGTGATAGTAATTCTGGTCCTTAGAGTTTGACACCAAAGATGAGGGACATCTGCTTTGGATATCAGAGACCGAGGTCTCTGAGCAATGAGGTGGGTTCAGGAGCTCTCTGAAGGTACATTTTTTATATCCATTCTTTAGTTCACCAGATATTTTTTAGCACCTAGTGTTTGCCAGATGGTGCACTAGGCATTAGGGATGCAGTGATGCAAAAAATCACAGAAAAATTCCAGGCAGAGGGTAATGGGATTTTCTGGCTGGGCATCTGTCACGGCCTCCTTCCAGCCTTGGGGAGCTTTGCTGGAAGTCTGTGCCTTGGCTGGCTTGTTCCATTGCATGGAGCTCAGTGGGGTGTGTGAGCATGGAACAAGGTTTAGAGACTCACGGAAGTGAAAAGTGGCCTCTAGCTTATTGGGATAGCACAAGGTCATTTGTCCAGAAGATAGAAAAAGCTAATCAAGCTGCCCCTCCTCCCTGAGCTGCTGCAGCCGCAGGGCTTAGATAGCTGCGAACGCAGCAGAAGCGGAATGGGGATAAGTGGGTCTGTGCTCGCTGAAGAGTGCTGAGGCCGCGTGGGCTGGGGTGGCGTCCGCTGAGAAGGGTGAGGGATCCGATCCAGGAGAGCAGCTCAGGGAGATGTGGCCGTTCTCTAGCCTGTTCTCTAGTCAGAAGGAGCAGACGTATCTGTGGGTCCCTTGAGACAGAGCAGTGGGAGGAGAGAGAGAAGACAGGCTTTGGCTTCATAAAGATAAGTGCTTCCCCAGCTGGGTTGATTCATTTTAAAAAAAATATTTTATTTATTTATTTTTGGAGAGAGGGGAAGGGGCAGAGAAGGAGAGGGAGAAAACCATTGATCGGTTGCCTCTTGCAGGCCCCCAACTGGTGGCCTGGCCTGCAACCCAGGCACGTGCCCTGACTGGGAATTGAACCAACAACCTTTCGGTTTGCAGGACGATGCCCAATCCACTGAGCCACACCAGTCAGGGTGATTCATTTCTTCATTCATTGATTCAGCAAACTCATCTGTGAGGTGTATACTTTACACTAGGCTCTGTGTCTGGGGAAACAAAAATGAAATAAGGTCAGACTCCTGTTCTCAAGTTGTTTACAGTCTGGAGGTAATAAGTGGCCCTTCCCTGGGGGTTTTAAAGCAGAGGCTGGACAAGTACTTGGGATGAGCAGGTGGGGAGTTAAGGAAGTTAAAGATTCACATTGTAGGAGCGGGAGGAGGTTTGGACTGGGGGCCTCTGTGGAATTTCCAACGCCCAAAGAGAGCCAGTGTTTAAGTTCCTGTGGGATTGGTAGGGGGTCAGGGTGGTTTGAATGCTTAGGAGGAGGGGTTAGATTGGAGGAGGGGCAAGGCAGGGTTGTCAGAAGGGCCTGGGTTTGAATCCCAAACCTCAGCCAATGCTGGGGATCACAGCAGGTCCTGCAGGCCTAGGGAGGACAGAGGTAATGAGGCAGGAAGGGCCCAGAACTTAGAGAGACCTCAGTCACTGCCTTGAGAGCAGGAAGCCAGAGGAGATTTGTCCCCCACCATCAGCTGCCTCCGCTCGCCTTGCTTTAGTAGCGCCCCTGCTGTCTCTGCCCTCCCACCACGCCTGCTTCCGTCTCAGGGTCTCCAGGATGAGTGTCAGTACCTCCTTCAGCCACAGCTCATTGTCAGGCGTTTACTGGACGTTGCTGTGCTGGTGCCTGGCCGTCCCTCAGAGCAAACCCTCACCTCCCACAACCGCTCAGCCCTATACAAGTAAGTGGAACCCCCTCCTCCACACCCCGCCCCAAACCTGGCCCCTTCCCTTTTCCTTCCTCAGCCTCAAACAGGGAACAGGATTCTCTTGGCCTCTTAGCCTCCCTGCCTGTTCCTGCTCCCCCTCTGGTCAACCCGGACTGCTGGGCCACCCAGAGCGCCAGCATGGGGTGCACCCCTGCCTCCCTCTCTCCCAGCACAGAGGGGAGGACTTGAACAGGCCTCCTGTTCTCCTTTGCCCGTTGCTCCTCCCCACCCCTTCGTCCTGGCATTTCCCTCATTCTGGTGTCCCTCTCACCTTTCCATACCCTGTGTTTTCTTACCCCCAACCTCCCCTCTGCCCAGGGTCTTTGTGCCCAGCTTCACTTACAGGGTTTCAGCACAGCTGGTGTGTGTGGGGGGCCGCGGGGCATCCGCCTGCCCCCTGACACTGCGCCTACGTCCCAAGGCCCCTCCCCTGCACAACTCAAGCTCTGTGGCCTGTGGAGGTGCCTCTGTCTGCCAGCTGGAGCTAGCACTGCCCCCTTGGGGGCGCTGGGTCTACGTGCGTGTGGAGACACCATCGCGGGGCCCTGGCAGGACCATCCGCTTCCAGCTGTGTGTGCGGCTGCAAGGTCAGAAGCCCCACATCTGCTCCAGCCACCCAGCCTGTGCTGACATCTGTGACTGGGAAGAGGCAGGCATGGTGGCTGTGTCCAGTGCCCCTGTGCCATGTCCCTAGACTCTCCCTGACCCTACCCAGGCTCCTTCACACTCCCTGAAGCCCCCCACTTGGACTTTCAAGTCATCGGAAGGCCTTCAGATCATCTTCCACCATTCAGGGCTGACTGAGTGACCTGATCACTCTCCTTAATTTAATCTCTCTTTCAGTTTCCTGGGGTGGGCAGGGACAGCTAGGACCTCTGGGACCCTGGTCTTGCAAAAGCCCCTGCCACTCAGTGAGAGGGTCAGTCATTTATTTCAACAGTGTCCTTGGGGAAGGGGAGATGACCTTGACCTTGATTCCCTCTAACATGGCAGTCTATCAGCTGTGACCACTAGGACAGGAAACTGGGCCCTGGTTCCTGGTTCCTGGGCCCTATCCTGTGACCTGGCTGCCCCATACTCCCAGGACATTTGATTCTAGTTGTCACCCCTCCCCACCCTTTGCTAAATCCTGCCTCGCTCAGACCTGGTTTGTGGTGGGGCTGCAGGGCAGCGAAGGTGGCAGGCCTCAGCTCTGATTGCCTTTGCCTCACAGAGTGTCCAAAGCCGAGCCTGTCCCGTGCCCTGGTCCCTGGAGCTGCCATGAACATGCCCCAGTCACTGGGCAACCAACCGCTGCCGCTAGAGCCACCATCGCTTGGGGCCCCTGTGGAGGGGACCGGGGCCCCATCTCCACCTGAGCACTGCTGGCCAGTGCGTCCAACTCTGCGCAATGAGCTGGACACCTTCTCCGTCCACTTCTACATCTTCTTTGGCCCCAGCGTGGCCCTGCCCCCGGAGCGCCCCGCCGTGTTTGGCCTGAGGCTGCTGCCAGTGCTCGACAGCGGAGGCGTCCTTAGCCTGGAGCTTCACCTCAATGCGGTACTTTATGGAGAGCAAGGAGGTTACCCCCATGGGGGAACTTGAAAAGAAGGTGATGGGTGTGGGGGTCCTTACCCCTCCTGGAAGCCTATGCAGGTTGCTTTCACCTAAGTTTATGATTAGAGACCATGCCTCAGCCCAGTTCTGGTCAAAAACAAGCTGAGTTTTGACTCTACTACAAATAGGCTGGGTCAGCCAGGACAATTCAGAGTGGTCCAGATTTTCCAAGTTTTGTAGCCTAAGCTCCTATTGCTAAGGGCCACTCTCCATGGCAGGTGTTTCACTTTTCCTGCACATCTCCTGTGATGGGCAGCCGCCCCCGCCTGAGGCCACGCAGGCCATGTGTAGCCAGCTCCGATGACTAAAGGCAGGCCTGCCATTCCATGAAAACCTGCGAGTGGATTTTTACCCACTCACTGATCTTTGTTTTGCCCCAGAAGCTATATTTTGGTAAATTTGTCTTAGTCCTTCAAAAAACAAAAGTTAATAGACTTGATTTATCAGAGCAGTTTTAGGCTTATAGAAAAACGGAGCGGAAAGTACAGAGTTTCCATATTCCCCCTCTTCCCTGCACAGCTTCCCCTATTATTCACATCTTGTATCGGTGCGGTGCATTTCTTACATCCTTAGCCTATTTTGGCAGCCCATCAGATGCCCCTCGGCCTTCTCAAAGCTGATTAATATCTTAGACCTCTCCACATCCTCCGCTCTCTCCTCTGGTCAAACTTCTGGTCCTCTGCTCTCTGAACTAAGTGAGCTGAGGTGGTACGAGCAGGGCGTCAGGCGGCGGCGTGTGCACAGCCGGAGATGAGGTTTCCTCTTTCTGCCGCTGCGTCACACTGATCACCTGGGGCCTGGGGTGAATTAAGATCTCTGGGTCTTTTTCCTTTCCCTCTTTTTTGTTTTCTTTAAAACAATTGTATTCATTTACATTTTAATTATAAAAACAGTAGAATCACATGTAAAAGCTTTACAAAAATAGAGGAAGCCATTCTCATAACACAACTGCTTAAACTTTTGGTCCTTTTCTCCATTAACTATTATATTAATCTCATTGAAACCAGTGGGCATACATATTTTTGTGCCCCGAGCCTGGTCCGTATGACCTGCTGCCAACTCCCATCTCATATTTTTGCAGTGAACTCTTTTAATCTAAATGGAAGAATTTATGTTAATCTTTGAGGCGTTGGCAAATTATACTGGTTTGGGTCTTGGGCTTTCGCCACTTTGTGTAATTACGCATTTGAAAAGCCAGCCTTCTGTCCTCTTAGCCATTATTCTCAGCGTTGAGTTAGACCGAGCTGAGGGCAGAGCCCGCTGTCAGGCCATCAGCGACTGTCTCAGGTTGGCATTGACCCAGTAAGGATTCCCCAGCCATGGGTCCTTTTGATTCTGCTGCCCGCCAGCTCTGGAGGCAAGGACCATTTTCCTACGAGCTGACCTGGGACTTTGTCTGTGGCTTGATGTGATCTGTTAGGGGACATGGCTCAGAACTTTCAAGTGGTCCCGCTGGTAAGGACAGAGCTGATTCTTCAGCCTGAAGATTTTCCTTATTTTCTTACTCAAATTCTGTCTGACTCTGTTCTGATTAATACTGTATGTATTTTGTGTTTGCTTATTGCCATGCCTTTGGGCAATGCCAGTGAAGTCTTGATTTGACCCTGAAACCTCAGAGCCCATATCAGAGACCAGCTGTATTCATACTTGTTCTCCCTCAGTATCTGAGGGGAGGCCCAGTCCTTTGCAGCTCCTTGCCCTGTTCCTCTCTGCATTCTTGTCTATTTACTCTAATGGGTACCTGCTTACATTCCACTCATCTGCGTGCTGTGACCCTTGCTACACAGCTCAGACAGTTGTTATATTAATTCCGAAAGGTATATTGGCACATTTACTCTTTTTTTTTATCCTCACACAAGGACATGCTTATTGATTTTAGGGAGAGAGGAAGGGAGGGAGAGGTGGAGAGAAACATCAATGTGAGAGAAAAACATCGATCGGTTGCCTCTCATAGGCACCCCGACCACACCGAACCTGCAACCTAGGCATGTGCCCCAACCAGGAATCAAACCTGGTTTATGAGACGACACTCCAACCAACTGAGCCACACTGGCCGGGGTAGCACATCTACTCTCATCTTTCCAAGTATTTTGATTTTTTTCCCCTTGGATCAAGAATTGGTCATTTGAATTAGAGAACTGTATATCTGGAGAACATTTCTTATCTTTGGCTCTCCCACAGAATGACTTCTACTGAGTAATACATTGGCATATTGCCCTGCGCTTGCATTGAGGAAAATTATGAGCAAGTCGTATGAAATTCACTCTTGTCATTGAGGACAGGATGCACAACAGCACACAGTGCTGCTTTGAAGGGGACTTACCTTAGAACCACACCTTTGGATGCTATACTTCTGTGACTCTGATTAACTTTTATCTTATGAGCTCACAAATCTGGTCACTCATCAAGTTTCCGTCTCTGCTTTGCTTGCTTGGAAGTCAGCATCAAATACATGGCCCACATATAGGGGCAATCTTTATTTTTCCTATCCTGATTTTTCAGTTTCCCTCTTGCATTTATTTTCTCCTGTTATATGCATTTAATAAGCTGCCTCAAATCCTTCTTGAATGAGGTGAGCTTATGGCAACCTGTTAACATTTATTCCCGTAGACAAGCCTGCGTGTTTAGTCCTGTGGATATCCGATTTCTCTCCATCCCAGCCAAGTTGCTACATTTAATCCCTCAGGCATTCTGTTACCACTCTTCAGTACCTCATCATTTCACCTGAGGAAGAGTACATTTCTTTTCACGCCTCCTGTCTTCAGACTCAGGTGAAGGGGTGAAGATGATCAAAACCTTCCAGTTACCTTTATGCACAACTGGTTTCTACATCCAGCAACAGCACCCCCCGCCCCCGCCCGCCCCCGCCCCGCTACGAGCTAGATAGGATTGGAAAAGAGGATGTTCTCTTTAGCCTGAACAGTGTAAACATTCTGCCCAAGGAAAGGATTCAGAATTGGGCCTTGCGTTTTTATCAGACTTTGAAAGATCCCTGAGGTGGGAGATTTTGTGTTTCAAAACTGGAGGAGAGATGGGTGTTGTTGCGTGCTCCTGCAGGAGTGTGGTGTCCCGTGAGGGCCTGGAGGAGTTTATGGGCGGCCGGGGGGGGGGGGGGCGGGGGGTTAACTGGTGTAGGAGTCTGGAGTGGGGAAGGTTGGTAGGACCTTGAGGATGGGACAGCTTCATCTTCATACCTGCCCTCCCTAGAGCTCCCTGCACAAGGAAAATGTGACCGTGTTTGGATGCCTGACTCACGAGGTGCCCTTGAGTCTTGGGGATGCAGCAGTGACCTGTTCCAAAGGTGAGGATGAGGAATGCAGGGAGGAGAGAAAGCTGGCTGGGATGGATGGGAAATGCTATGGAGGGTGAATGGGCTAGAGTCTGGGGTGGGGGCAGGTGGGTGGGGGTTCTTTAGATCCTGGCCCCACGCCGACCCCTCCTTCCTCTCACTGACCCCTCACTTACCTCCTCAGAGTCCCTGGCTGGCTTCCTCCTCTCAGTCAGTGCCACCTCCAGAGTGGCCAGGTTGCGAATCCCATTCCCACAGACCGGGACCTGGTTTCTGACGCTCCGCTCCCTGTGCGGCGCGGGGCCTCGGTGAGTGGCTTGCGGCTGTGTGACGCGTGGCGGGAGGGAGCGGCCGAGCCCCAGGTGACCGCCAGTGTGTGCACAGGTTTGTGCGGTGCCGGAACGCCACTGCAGAGGTGCGGCTGCGCACCTTCCTGTCCCCGTGTGTGGACGACTGCGGGCCCTACGGCCAGTGCAAGCTGCTGCGCACGCACAACTACCTGTACGCGGCCTGCGAGTGCAAGGCCGGTGAGCGCTCTGGGCTGGCAAGGGAGCTCCAGGGGCTCTCGGGAGGGGGCGGCCAGGAGAGATTGGGAGGGCGGCACTAGGGTGAGACCACCCTCTCCTGTCAGTGGCACTGGCTTAGCTCGAGGCCTCCGGAGGCTTCCAGCAGAAGCGGCTGCTGAACCCCTGGCTGCTTTCTGTATGTACCCTTCCACCCTGTACCCTCCCCACCCACAGGGTGGCGGGGCTGGGGCTGCACCGACAGTGCGGATGCGCTCACCTACGGATTCCAGCTGCTGTCTACTCTCCTGCTCTGCCTGAGCAACCTCATGTTTTTGCCACCTGTGGTCCTGGCCATTCGGAGCCGATATGTTCTGGAAGCTGCCGTCTACACATTCACCATGTTCTTTTCCACGGTATGAGGTGATGTCAGTGCCTTCTTTGAGTCCCTCTCCCTGCGGTGGGTGACGTTCTACATTTCCCCCCTGTTCTCCACTGGTTTGGGGATGTCTGTATCTTTACAATAGGAAGGTGTCTCCAGGTCACCGCGTCTCCTATAGCCGTGCTTCCCCACCTTTTCATATCATGGCATGCGTGCAGTGTGGTCATTTTTGTAAGGCACATTTGGGTCAATGAACAAGCCTGTTTGTCACTTAAAATACCAACAGCCACTGCAGACAATGTGTGGTCTCTCGCTGTGTCACACCCTGCCTGTCCACCCTGAGGGCCGAAGGGAATTTTGCCTCAATTCAACCGGACGAGTAACTCTGTTCTGCAGTAGAGAATTGCGCCTTCACTGCGAGAGGTCTGCACGGGGCAGGAGATCCACCCTTTCACCTGTGTGGCTGCATGGACAGTTGTCAGTTTCAACACATTCTTTCATGATGCGAGGGCTAGCTGTACTGTGCTGGCGTTCCTCATCGTACTGGGGATTTCTACAATGTGAGCATGTTCTTTCTTATGGCATAAAAAGGTATCTCCCCACTTAGGAGCCATGGCCTCCTTGGACTATCGTGGGAACTTCTGGAAGGCAGAGAGGATCTCTATAATTGGGTAATTTATGGAACAGTCTGGCTCTTAAAATCCTAAGAAACTTTACAGATTCAACTATGTTCTGAAGCATCATGGGAAGTGGCAATGTGATATAAAATCCCAGCCCAAAGGAGCTTATTTTGTTGAAGATTAATATAGTTTTAAACCCTTTCCCTCCCATTACAGAATCTCCACAATCTCTGTGTCTTCCCACTCTTCTATCATCCTAAAAATTCATGTTACAAGCATGTGTCACAGATATTCTAAGGAAAGGTAGAGGAATGAGTCTGCTCTTGTGACTTAGCCTTCATGTAGACGGCCCCCTCCTTCCCCTACCCCCTACCCCGACCCAGGATTCTGCATCTGGAGATCTTTTCATCTCAGCTCTGGGCTCTTGGCGTCTTGTGACATACAGTGCCTGCCCATGAGCACTGCAAACATCTTAGATGGATTCAGACTTTCCTCGTGTCTTAGCAACAAAGATATCACAAAAACCCGATAGCCCCTCTTGTTCAACGTTAATAGAGCAAATATATGTCCAAATTTTAAAAAATCCTACTTATCACTTAGAAGTGGGGGCAACTGTCCTGAAACTAAGGGTCCTGTCATATGTAAGTTCCTCCTGGACGTTCATCCACAGATGAGGAGTAGCCTTATCTGTGTCCTTGCCAGGGAGACAGACCTTGGCCCCGTAAGCTGGATGAGAGGAGCACATTCCAGGTTTGCTTTACTGGCCCCCTTTTTAGACCTGCTCCGACAGTGCCTCATTCTATTTTTATATTAGACACTGTTTCTCCTCTTTATTGCCAGATGCCCTTATACTGTTGCTCACCAAATCCTCTAGCAACAGCTGCTCCACCAGCCCGCTCTTGGCTGCATGCAGATCTAATGCGATTCATAATTGGTACCTGGGGCATGTGGGGAGAGCGTGTCTGTTCCACACTTCACACACGCATCCTGGGCATTGGCTCCAGAATGTTCAGTCCTGGATGACTCCTCATTTTCTGGATACAATGGGAAATCAACCTGAGAATAAAACACTTTCCACCCAGTAGGTACACTGTGGGAGCCTAAAGTGCCTGGCACCACATACAGAGCTTCCACTTTCTTAAATAAGGTGATAAGAGATTAAGGAAAAGATACTGGTTCTGAGCTGTTGCCTGAAGTCCCGCTCTAACTCCTGTTCTTTTCCACATGGGCCAAAATGTAGAGCTTCTGGTCTTCCGGTTTTCCGTGTTGTCCCTCTCTTCCCATTCTTTACTTAGTTTAGACTTATTCTATTTCTACGCAGTCTTTGTTTAAGGACCGATTGACCATGTTGCAGGTCATGGTAGCGGATAGTAGGTTATAGTCTTCAAATACAGGACAGTCTATACTTGGCACTAGTGCATGAGTTGTTGACCAGGACATAGGAGCAGACGTTAGGTTTGTTCTTCGGGAGTTTAAAATGTAAATACGTTAAATATTTAAAATGTAAAATATATAAGGTATACAAGATGTCAAAACAACAACAACAACAACCAAACAAAAAAGCCACAAACACAGCACTTGATTTTGTATATAGTCACACAGTTCATATAATAACAGCACAGAACATCTGAATGTGTGCTGTGTGTCAGACACTGCTAATCAGATTCTCGCAATAGCGCTATAATAGTAGACAGGGACTTCTGTTATTATCATCTCTTTTTGCAAATGAGAGAAGTTTAAATACTTTGTCTAAGGTATAGGTGAGTGGCAGAACCAACATTTTCACTCAGCCTGACTCCAGATCCTCCCCTGTAATCGCTGAGGTCTGTTGCTCCCCTTGCGCGAGGGCAGTGAGTGCTCACTGATAAGTTTCTGGCCTGACTTCAGTTTCTCAGAAGTCCTGGCATCCACAGAGAGACTCGGGGCCTCAGTTGATGAGTTATCAAATTCTTAACAGATAAGGAGAGTCAATCAAAAGATCAGAAAATGTAACCAAACCAAATATAAGAAATTGTGAGGGAAAATAAATCAAATTTGAAGGTGTGCAACTCTAACCCATACAGTTCAAGCCACCTGTCCTTCCCTGTGCTGCACGGCCCTCACAACCAGAGCCCAAAAGACCAGACAGAGCCGATATCCTGGAGGCCTTACAGCCTCCCTTGCCGATTGCTGACATCTTGGCGGCAAGCCTGCCTTCTCATTACTTTTCTCTTCTTCGAGCCATCACAAGTAATTCTCAGTGGCCCTTGGCAAAGTCCCATGACTGTTTCCAAGAGAAAATGGAAGCACAAAATTAAGAGAGCAGCAGTAAATTCCGTTATATCCTGAGTACAAATATAATTTTTGCATGGATTAAATACATTTGCATTTCCATTCTGTAGTGCTTGGATACTCCATTTTGGGGCATTAGATGACCTATATACTTATGTTGTAAAACTATAAAATTTTACAGAAAAATAATCCTGGATAATTTTCTAAAATTACCTCATAAGTAGTGTCCAAAGCTGAGGAAACTACCAAATTAGATTAGAATTATATTAATAGAAACCAGCCTGTACTCTAAATTTCTTTTTTAAATTCTTCATTTTTTTCTGTGTCATTTTTACCACTTTTATTGTCATTGACAAAAGGAATACTAATCTAAAAATTAGCCCACACTTCTTAGTGGAATAATAACTTCCTCGCACTGCAATTTTAATTTAACTCTATCCCTGTGGATTTTCCACAGCCTCAATCTCTTTGACTTTTTGGTATACTTGGAGAATAATAAGTCATTATTATTCTGTGATTAGAATATTAGTGAGATGATTTCTCCCCAAAGCCCTTTCTCTCCAGAGACAGTCTCTCCATTATTTGCCGTTCTTTTTTCAGGCAAGAGAAGTTTGAGATCAGCCTTCAGTAAATTATTCTTTTAGATGTGTCTTCAGTATTAGACAATCCAGTTTTGCTTTTTTTCTGCTGACATATATCCTCTCTTATCTGAGATTGAAGAATTTATTACAAGGCCCTCTTCCAGAAATGTTCGGGCATTTCCTTCTCTATGCTTGAAAGTCAGGCATATGGAGTAAGTGCTTGGTTAAGCCTGAAATGTAAAATTAGTGCTTTCAAATAAAACCAAATCATAAAACATCATGGGATAATTTAGTGGCCTGTAGTACTTATATCTGGTTTTGGAGATAGAAAATAATTAATGTCCTATAGCTAAAAGAGAAGAAAAGACCAAAAGATTTGTTTAGGAACCAAATTAACTCTCAATTAATCAGCACATATAAGAAAAAGAATTGAAAAATAAACAAATCTTTTAGGCATATTCAAACATTAATTCTAATGCTATGTGGGCCCTCAGGAAAAGTTACCTAGTAAGAACTCATTATCTCAATTTAATGACTTATTAAGAGGGAACCATGCCCCCAAACTTATAAGTTCTTTCAAAAGTCTGAGAAAATTCACTTAAAACATGATCATTCCAAGGCAGTCTCTTCCTGAAGGGTCACTATTCTTTACCTCCAATGTAAAGGAAAAGAGATAAGATAGGTACACAAGTTTCAGTCTCATAGCTTAACATTTGAAGGAATCAAACCCAGGATTTCCCAGTGCCAACTAATATCCCTTAGTGTTCTTTTTCCTTTTTTTTTTTTTTTCTTTTTAGAAACTCTTCCTAGCTTCTTCCTGCCCTTATATTATTTACCCTTTCTTTCCCTTTTGTCTGTTGAAGTTGATGATTTTATAACTTGAATGACTGGATGAACTCTTCAACAGGCTCAAAAGAAACATTAACAATTTATTTCTCATCCTTTGTCTCTAGAGACTAAACTTTCAAATCCGTTTCCCCATTTTGTTGGGGGCAACTCTGCATGGGGCTGGATTTGGTCAGTTTTCACAACAAACCTGCTTCAATTTCCCACGTGCTTTTTCCTAAGGGCATGCTGTTTGATTAAGGCTGGGGTGTCATGGTTTGTAATATGAGTTTCGGATATGACACTTTTCCCCCCAGAATTCTTCTTCCTGACCTCATCCCCACCCTCTTGTTTTCAACTCTAACTCATTCAAACAGGAGACCAGGTTCTCCCATTTCCATTCTTGCCAGTAGTTAAAGACCCTATTGCTGCCAGTGAGTGAAGAACTTGTGATGTTGCTCAGCTCTCTTTCCTCAGCTGTGGACTGGATACCTCTGCCCTTTTCCAACACTCAGAGCCTTGTCTCTGGAGGGCCCGGAGGCCTGTCTCCCTCTGGTCGGCGAGGCTACCGCTCCTTGGAACTCAGTTGTGATTAGGGCTGCCTTTTAATAGAATAATGAAGAAACTGACCCAGGCTGAAAATAGTGCCTAACGTGTCAATGATCAAGACACTTCAAAAGCCATCTTTGGATGCCATTGCGCTTAGCCTTCCTGCCCCAGCTTCAGTTCATCCTGATGTATTTCAGTCCCACCCTGGAAACTACACCAACTTGTTTCTCCTATCAAGAGATGTTCTCAATAGCCATGGCTTCCAAGGGACTTGGGGTAACATGCAGGGGCCAGAGATCAAACAGACCGATTCACAGAAATCTTAACTTTTTGATCCTCTAAAATCTGCTGGCATGCCTCAAGCTCAGCTCTAATGAGTAGATTTTGATAAACTTTATATAGGTCAAAACCTTTTCGCTACCATTGTAGCTTCTTGGTTTTCTTCTTAACCCTGCTTCTGTCACCATAACAACCTATTCTGCCTGACACGGGGCAGGGATGATGTCAAGAGATGGGAGGAGTGAGCGTCCTGCTGTGGTGTTTGTTTTTCCTCAGAGGTCTGTCCAGTATGTGTCCTTTAGGTGGGCTCATAAATCCACAGTGAGATATTTGTTCCCGTTGTCTTTGCACCAAAGCTATTCTTACATCCATACATGTTCTTAGTGTTTGGCATCAGTGAATACTCAAATCATAAAAATTCTACAAGGACTTCAGAGAAAAGTGCCAGCAAATGTTCTAAGGCCAAGAGAACTCTGGGAACTCCTGGGTAACCTCTTCACAAATCCAGGAACGTAGGATGTCGGAGGCCATGCATTGTCCCCAGAGGCACAGGGATTGGGACCAGGCCTTGATTCTTTAATTGAGGAGCCTGGAATACCTTGATACAATTCCCCTCGTGTTCCCTGCACCCCTCTTGGAGTCTCCTCAATACGCTTTCCTCTGTTCCCCGCAGTGTAGGAGAGGCGGACGCTCTCATCCCTGTGTTTTTCCCCACGGCGTGAAGGGCCACTCTCTTCCCCGTGGCCATAGGGACTGCCGGTTTCACTACTGTGTCTACATTGGGTGGGAAGCGAAGAAGAGGACCAGCTAGTGCAGGGCCTGATGGTGAAGCCCAACTCAGAGGCTGAGCTATCAGGAGAGGCTGGGACAAGCTGGGGAGGCTCGCGGTCTGGGTCGGCCAAGAGGCCGGAGTCCAGCCCCAGAGCCTGGGTCAAGAACGAGGATTATAGATGGGACCCACAGCAAACATGAGGAGAGGGGGAAGGACTGGCCTCGCTGGAGGGACCTGGACCTCCCTGGCCTGGTGTTCTCCACAGCACATTCCAGAAGCAGGAAGACTAGGAAGGTGCGGGTGAGGGTCAGGGCTGCCAGACACGTCCCTGAACAGCTGATGAGGCAGACCAGGCCTCCCTGCCGTGTTTTTCTCAGGAGTGGAGAGTGGGGCATTTCCCAAATCTCTGCAGCCTCTGACCTCTGACCTCTGCTTCCCTGGTGGCAGCAGACCGCTACCCCTGCGGCCTCTTTCTTCCGTTTTGTAGCTCTGCACGTCTGCCCGCAGTTCTCTCAGTGCCTGTCTTTTCTTTGTCCAGTTCTACCATGCCTGCGACCAGCCAGGCATTGTGGTTTTCTGCATCATGGACTACGATGTGCTACAGTTTTGTGATTTCCTGGGCTCCTTAATGTCCGTGTGGGTCACTGTCATCGCCATGGCTCGTTTACAGCCTATGGTCAAGCAGGTCAGTCCAGAATGGGCCCTGGGGGACAACTGTAGCTGAAGTCTCCTTGAAACCCATTCCCAGCCTCTCCCCGAGGGCGCTCCCTCCTGGCCCAGCCCTTGTGGTCCCCCTCTCTAGGTGCTGTATTTGCTGGGGGCTATGCTGCTGTCCATGGCTCTGCAGCTTGACCGGCATGGACTCTGGAACCTGCTTGGACCCAGCCTCTTCGCCCTGGGAATCTTGGCCACTGCCTGGGTAAGGGTGTGGAGAACTGTGGGTGGGGTGTCCCAGCAGGACTTGGGTGCAGGGCCCTGGGTACCCAGTCCCCAATTTAAGGTGGGCTCAGCCCCTGTCATCATTACTGTTTTGCCCGTGGTCCCCATTCTAGTCTTAGGAAGTTCCTTCAGGTCACAGCCACTCTCAGGGGAAACCTGAGAGTGACCGGCTCTGGCTTGGGTTCCCAGGCCTCGCATTCCTGAGCCCCACTTCTCTGCCTCCCCCAGACAGTACGCAGCGTCCGCCGCCGGCACTGCTACCCACCCACATGGCGCCGCTGGCTCTTCTACCTGTGCCCGGGCAGCCTTATTGCAGGCAGTGCCATCCTACTCTATGCTTTTGTGGAGACCCGAGACAACTACTTCTACATCCACAGCATTTGGCATATGCTCATCGCCGGCAGTGTGGGGTTCTTGCTGCCCCCTCGTGCCAAGACTGACCGCAGGGTCCCCTCTGGAGCCCGGGCCCGGGGCTGCGGTTACCAGCTGTGCATCAACGAGCAGGAGGAGCTGGGCCTTGTGGGCCCAGGAGGGACCCCTGTCAGCAGTATCTGCACCAGCTGAGAGCAGCTTTGGGCCTGGCCCTTGGGGAGCGTGAACCCTTCCTAGGGGCAGAGAGCCCTTCCTGGGTTTTTCCAGGCAGCGTGGAGCCTTTCCAGGGATGAGAGACAAGTTGTATTTTCCTGAGGACGTGGAGTCTTTCTTGACAGGGAACTCCTCCAGGGACCTGGCGTCCTTCCTGAGGGCCTGGAGTCAGCCTGCATCTGTGGGTTCCTTCAGGACTGTAGCCCGTGCGGGGCAGCAGAGCCCCCTCAGGGCCAGGCAGTCCCTCCTCGGGGCGGGAGCCCCTCCCAGAGATATGGAGCCCTCCTGAGGATATGGCATCATTCCCGGGGGAGTGGAGTGCATCCTGGAGAAACTGAGTTTCCAAATCCTCCCAGCAGCTCAGCAACTCTGGCCTCAGGCCCACGTCCCGAGGCAGCGCCTTGGCTGGGCTGTGCTGGGAGGGGAGTGAGAGAGCAATGGGGCTGGGACGGCGGCTGGAATCTTGAGTGGATGCAGGTGGAGTCTGATGTGTTTCCGATGAAGTATTTGCTGGTTCTGTGCTGCCTTTTTTTCCTGCTGCCAAGGGTGTGGGGGAGGGGAGGGAGAGAGGGACCTCGAGGAGGTCAGCAGGGTGAGGGGACCTCAGCTGGAACGAGCTGCTGGAGCCACTATCTCTGTCTGAGGCTTTGATCCCATCATGTCAGGCAGTAGCAGCTGGGAATAGGGAGCTGAGAGAGAGAGGCGCTGAGATGATTTAAATCAGTGAGACAGATCTCCCTTATGGAACTCACACCCAACAGGGAAGGAAGCTGAGGTCCCAGGAAATGGGACTAGCAGGTACAGATGTCAGATGCGCAAGAAATATCACAAGAACGTAGCTTCTATTTTCAGCCCCATTTTGCCTGACTGCCAGAAATATAATCCTTCATCAATCTGGAATTTCTTCTGTTTCCACACTAGTCACAGCTAAGTTCCAAGGGTCTTATGGAATGCACAGATTTTGGGAGTGTGTTTTTCCTGGTCTCCACAGCCCATGTGGCACCCACCCCCCGAGATTTCCATCATCCCACCTGGCCCGCAGCTGGGGGTGCGGGTAGGCCGGACCAGGGAGGCTTCTTGGTCCTGGCTGTATAACCCCTTTTAGTCCCGAGGCTCGCTGCCACTTCCGTGCCACATGCAAAGACCTGTGACACCTTGGCTCCCCAGACATACCTTGGAGCCATTTTACTCTGGGGTCCTGCTCTGGGTTTTACTGGACCAACAAGGCATGAGTTGCTCCCGCTTTTAAATCCTGCAAACCTCTTCAGGAGCTTGGCCTGGGGAGTGGGGATCAGGGCCCCTCTCATTGCGGGCCCCTCTGGGCCAATGTTCCCACTACGTCCCCTCCTCATTTCTTTTCCTGCTCCCTAGTTTAGCGAATATTTTGTTAATCTGGAGGTGGGGAAGCCTTACTTTTACTTTGTTTTCTCCCAAATCTTTTGTCTATGCCTTAATGCTCCCTTTCGGGCCTCGGCATTTGAAGGTCAAAAGCCAAGAAGACATCCTTTTGCCCGCTGGTTTCTGCCATCACGGTGCCTCCGGGGGGCACTGAGCAGAGAGCGGTACGGCCACGTGAGTGGTGAGAAGGAGTGAGAGGTGTGAGCTAAGTATCTGTTCCTGTATCAGAAATGTCATTCCATCGCATAAAGATGTAGAGTCAGGTCACCAGGACACATGAACCCAAATAGCTGGCATTCAGGGCAGAGTCAACAGAATACAGATGGCACTGAAAGAGGAGACAGGGCTGGGACAGACTGCCCCCCAGCTGGGGGGGGTGGGGTCAGAAGGGGCTTTCTGGAAGGGGAGTATGTGTTGAGGATTGAATGGGTTTTCATATGCTGAGATGTTGGGAGAGTGTCCACTCTGGTCACCAGTGTCTGTGTTGCACCCCTCCCCTGAGATTTCCGTCATTCCACCCGGTCTCCAGTCACGAAAGCACTAGGACACAGTGCGGTGCCCAGCCCGGGACGCAATGTGTCCAGTATATTAGCTAACGGTCAAGAAGTGTTTGGGGCTGGTCTGTCTCCGCACCATGCCCCTCTCCTTTCTTGGAGAGTGAATAAAAACTTTACTCTCTACACTTTCTTCTCTTTGTGAATTCTTTCATAGCCCGCGTCACCGACCACACTAACATTTTGGTGGCTCATATGGGGACGTTCTCTATTTCTCCCTGGCCTCCAGCCTCCTGAGACTTGCGAATAGGGGAGCAGTGGGCAGCAGAAGCTTGACCCAGGCCAACCCCCTAACCCTGTCTCTGTGAGGTTTGGAGAGAGGATTCTAATCCTTCTCTGCATTTCTGGACTCTGCGGACAGCCTCCTCCTCACAGCCCACCTTCACAGCCAGCAACTGATAGAAGAAAACTTGTTTTCTTTCCCTGGAACAACTTGACTGGGAATTACTAGAAAGCAAGAACAGAACAGGACTAACCGCTCCCTACAGCCGCAGGCAGAAGATAACATTGGAACAAACTGCAGCCTCGTGTTGCAACACCCCCAACAGCCCAGGGGCCACACAGCAGCAACCGAGGCCCCACCCTCTTTTAATCCAATTATAATCCAATAAAAGCTCAGAGCTCCTACCCCTCAGTGCTGGCATATCTCTCCACACCATGCCCCCCTCCTTTCTTGGAGAGTGAATAAAAACTTTACTCTCTCTCTCTCAAAAAAAAAAAAAAAAAAAAGTATTTGGACATGAGAGGGAACTGCAAGAGGGAGACAGAGAGGAAGGAAAGACAGACGGTTACGGGGGACTGGGAGTGATTCTGTGTGCGGGGCTGCGGGAGTGTGTGGGTGGAGCAGGGCTGCAGGCAAGCAGCCGGTAGTGAGGCTGGATGGATAGGTGGGGTCTGGTTTTTAGCCCGTGGGAAAGGAGCCACTGGAGAGATTTAAGCAGAGGAGTAGCATGAACAGACGGGTGTCTTGTCTTTATGGATTGGGGTGTCGACGGCTAGTGCAAAGATGGGTTTTGGAGAGTTTGCAGCGACACCAGTGTTGCAATATTTGAGAGATGGATGGGGAAGGTTTACGGTAGTATCCACGGGAAGGAGTGGACTGGTTTTGTTTATTTGTGGTTTTTCTTGTTTTGTTTTTTGATTTTATATATTTATTTTTAGAGAGAGGGGCAGAGAGAGAGAAAGAGAGGGAGAGAAACAGCGATGTGCGGTTGCCTCTCCTACGCCTGTATCTGGGGACCTGGCCTGCAAGCAAGGCATTTGTCCTGACTGGGGATCAAACCAGCAACCCCCTGGTTCACAAGCTGATGCTCAGTCCACTGAGCCACACCAGCCATGACAGGGGTGGACTGTTTTAAGAGCTGTTATGAGATGGACTCTATAGGACTTCGTGACTGATTGGATGTATGGAGCAGTGAGGGATGAGAGAAAGTCTATGACTTCCATGTTTTTGGTGTGGTGACTTGTGGGTGATGGTGCCTTTCCCTGAGCTGGTGACACAACTTTGAGGGGCAGAATGCTGAGTTCAGTTTTGAATAGTTTGAGTTTGAGGTGCCTATGGGGTTCCTGTGAGGAAGGACCAGCAAGATGACCATGCTGGGCGGAGCAGCTGAACCTGGTCTGGAGCCCTGGTCTCCTGGTCCCCAAATAGTTATCTCCTGACTTGTCTCCATAGGTGGGGAGCCCAAGAGGCTAACAACTGCAGCCTCCTGGGAACTGAGGGCTTTGGCCAAAGATGCTATGTCTCCTTGGCTTGTGTCTCTCTACACAAGGCTCAGCAGCACAAGGCTCAGTCCTCAGATGGCAGCATTGTGAGGGCTTCTGAGTGACGATTCAGTTCGCTAAATCTTTTATAGGGAAAGCTCTGTGCGAGCTACAGAGACAAGCCGGATCTGGCTGAATCTTGCCCTCAGAGAGCTCACAGTGGGTAAAATACCATGAATACAAAGCAGAACAGGGCAGGCACCGAGCAAAAGCTTCCAACAAAGTGCTATAGGATCAAAAGGAAAGAGAGCACTTTCAAAGTGCACCAGGAAAGGGTATGTGAATGAGACGGTCCTGGTCTTACCAGAGAACAGGAGATGGCAGTGTGGGCGGTGCATATGACGTAGTGAGGGGCGGCCAGGGGAAGGGGTTAGAGGAACATCAGGCTGCAGACGCGGTGGTGGTAGGGGGTGGTCTGGGTCCTGGAGGGCCCGAGGACGCAGCTGGAGGATTTGGACTCACCGCTGTGGTAATGGGGAGCCATCGGGGCTTCTTGATGAGAAGAATGATGAATCGGGGTTTGACTCTGAGTGATACAGGGATTTGTTATGGAGAAGGCGAAACGGAAAAGCCGGCATTCGTGCTATCTGTCACCTACCAGACCCAATAAGCGGAGACAGGGATTGACTCTTTATGGGCGCTCTATTCAGATGGTTGGTGATCTGAGATGACAGCAGGGTGGTACGCTAACAGACCCTCTTCAATTCCATTTGAAACCGACCCTATTTATAAGGAGAAGAAAAGTGTAGGTAAGGGGTCTGGAACGCAGGGGAAAGTTAATCAGATAAGAGCTGCACCATTCTCTCATCTGTGTCCTGCGCCATGGCCTTTAGTACAATGGCTCAGCTACCACCTTGATGGCTGGCAGTCCTTCTGAGGCACAACTGCTTATGAACCTGCTTACAGTCTCCTGGAGTCAGCGTGGGTCATACCTTCAGTCCCTGAAACAATGGCTTTTTACCTTCCTTGATCACTAAGCTTATTAGCTATTACCTAAAACTAAAATTTTCCCGACATTTGAGACCCCCATCGAAGGGACCTGTGCAATTGTGGGAGCAGTTAGAGAAGTTTATGCAAAGCTGTTACCTCTGCAGCTAGTGCTGGACCTGCGGTCGCTGTGAGTACCTGGGCCGGTAGGATGAGGTGGGGCAGGGTAAGGACACACTGGCACCCAGGAGGGCGAGCTGGAGCCCGTGTCTGGCTCTCACTGCCTTCAGTCTCAGTGACGCTGGTGACCTGCACGAGAAGCTGGCACCCTTTGCCAAGGGGCTGCACTTGGCACAAGACGCAGAACAGTTGAAGGAGGGGACCTGGTGGGACTTGGCGGGTAGGAGAGGGACAGCGTGTGAGCGCTCCTGTGGCGTCTGCTGCTGCTTCAGTTTTGCTTTCTGAATCTCATGCAGATTTTTCTTGTGGTCCACCCTAACCCAGAGCCAAATGGGGAAGGACATTCTGAGCGGCACAGTTCCGCCTAGTTTGAACCAGGGCAAAGCCACCACAAGTGAGCTAATGAGAACTTTCCCAGGATGATTAACCTGGCATCAGCCAGGGAAGGATGGATGGTCAGAGAAAAGGAAGGCAACTCTCTGTAGGATGGTGTGACAATCATTAGGTTATATTTACAACTTTCTCAGTCCTCCCCCTCCTTCTAGGCACATGGTAGGTGTGACTCTCTGCTCCCCTCCCCCACGTTCGCTGTGGCCATATGCCTCCTATTGGCCAATAAAATGTAAGTAGAAGTAACCTGCCACTCCTAAGTGGAAGCTTGGAGAGTCAGTGCAGGTCTTGTCATCTTCTCTCTTCCTTTTGTCATGGTGACCAGCAGTGTTCCAGTAGTTGCTCTATTATCCTAAGTCCCAGAGGGGCGAGGACAATGATATGGAGCAGACCCCCCAGCCAGCCTGTGACGGGCCTGTAGCAATGGTGAGAAGTAAACCTTTGTGGTTTTAAGCCACTGACATTTTGGAGTTACTACCACACTGTAAACTAGCCTATCCTGCCGGATACAGTTAGAGAGCAGCAGGAAAAGCAGGACATTTTCCTGGAGAGCAGATCCCCGCCGAACAGAGCTATGGTGGCAGCTTTTACCTCTGCATTTCTCAGGCTGTAGATGACGGGGTTCAGCGAGGGGGTCACAAGCCCATAGAACAATGCCATAATCTTATCCAAGTCAGGGTCCTTGGCCTTGGGCTTGAAGTACATGAAGGCGATAGTCCCGTAGAAAACCACTACTACTGTGAGGTGGGCAGAGCAGGTGGAGAAGGCTTTGCGCCGGCCGGCAGCAGAGGGCACCCTGAAGATGGCAGCAAGGATGAAGATGTAGGACAGACAGATGAGCAGGAACGGGGCCAGCGACAGGACCGCTGTGGCCACGATTAAAAGCAGCGCATTGAGAGAGGTGTCCCCACAGGCTAGTTTCAGCACCGCCAAGATCTCACAGAAGAAGTGGTTAATGACATTGTGGCCGCAGAAGGGGAGGCTCCAGGTGACAATGGAATGCAGCAGTGCGTTGGCAAAGCCTGTCCCCCAGCTCAGCACTGCCATCTGCATGCACACCTGCCCACTCATGAGCTCTGGGTACCTAAGCGGCTGGCAGATAGCCACGTAACGGTCATAAGCCATTGCCAGCAAGAGCAGACACTCTGTGGAGCCTAGCGCCAGGGTCAGGTACATCTGCAGGGCACAGCCAGGGAAGGAGATGACCCTTTGGGCTTTCAGGAAGTTGACGAGCATGAGAGGCACGAAGGAGGACGTGCCGCAGATGTCCATGAGAGAGAGGTTGCTGAGAAAGAAGTACATGGGGCTCTGCAGGCGGGGGTCCAGCATGTTCAGCCCTAGAAGGAGGCCGTTGCCCAGCATATTCACGGAGTAGATGCCCAGGCAAAGCACAAACAGGACCATCTCTAGGTTATAGTGGCCTTGTAGCCCCAGCAGGACATACTCTGTCACAGCCGACTGGTTGGCCCCACCCAGCTCATGCTCCCTCCTTTCCCCTCTGGACCATACAGGGGGTGGAGAGAGCTCCGCTGGCCTGGGAGCCAAGCCGCCTGAACGTGTGCCCTGAGGCCGGGCTGCCCCAGCTCTGGAATTTAGTCCCGTCATCCGTGTCAGGAGAGACTGAGACTTACGGCCTGCAAGCTGGCCCTCTCGGCTCTGCAGTTCTGACATAACTTAGGGCAGATGAGGCACATTTTAGTTCTTTAGGTTCTTTGCTGTTACCTCTGGGGGCGCCCAGGAGACAATAAAGTAGGTTCATGGTTGGCACACTCCCTTGAAATTTAGAGTTCTTGATTGTTGAAAGGAACCATCTTTTCCAGGTTATGA